GAGTGAGTGGCTCTCGGCAGACGCAACTCTCTCTGGAAATCATGGGGAGGGGGCGGGGGGGAAGAGAGCGGGGGGGGGGGGGGGGGGGTGTGGAGGGGGGTGAAGGGGGCGGGGGGAAGGGGGCAGGAGAGGGCTTCTACACAGCCGAGCAATGCGCCTGTCAGTCGAAGCGCACCGCGTCGGAACATCTCCTGGGATGGGCCCTGCACCACCGCAGCGACACTCCCTCGCACTGTCGCCAACGGCAGGCGCCAGAAGCGGTGGCCTCGGTGCGGAGTATCGGGAAAAGACGTCCCGTCGAGGTCGGACAGGAGGCGACTGCGGTGAAGAAGATCGAAGTGGTGGGGGGTGGGGGGGGTAGGGGGTGCGTCGCGCCAAGCGTTGTGACCTCTTGCAGCCACCCAGTAGCAGTGTGCCGCATTGTTTGTTTGATCCCCGCGTCTCTCGAGAAAGGGCCGCTGTTCGCATGAGCGAGGGGTTCTTCACCTGCCCCCCACCCCACCCCAACCCCCACCCCCCGTGTCCTTTTAATGCGCCCCCTGACGTGCGGGGAGCCGCCGACAATAAACAGAGAGTGAGAACCCCCCCCTCTCCGCCCTTCCCATCATCATCATCATGCTGCTATCAAACCCCCAATGGTGTCAAACGATGCGTGGCGACCCTCACTCACCGACGATGTCTTATCGGCGAAAGTGGTCCCCCCCCCCCTCCACCCCCACCACCACCCAAACTCTGAAAATGATTGAAGAAACGCCGGCGTAGAACATTGAACCCGCCAACTGCAGGGCCGTGAGTCGGCGCCATCTGAACGACCCCACGCTGCCGACAGAGTCGCGGGCCGTAGACCTCCCCCGCTTCCAACGCAGCCGTCGATCGCGAGCGTGGCCCTGACGGAGGTCGCGAACGGCGACGTTCCCGACGGGAGGTCAAACGAAGCTTCGAAGACGCTCGAGGGGGGGGGGGGGGGGAGTCTTGTGGCACCGCGGCGCGTGCCACGTCCGTCGATGTGGCGCGTCTCGACGAGCACGAGGAAAACGCGTTTCGACGCTGATCGGTTTCGACAACGTGGGAGGCTTGCGCCGCCAATGTCACCCGCAAGCAAGCGGGGGTCGCCGGGTCAGATCGCGCGAGATCGCCTTCTCCGCTCGCCGTGCGCATGGTAATGATAATAAGAATAATGACATTTTATTTAGCGTCATTCATGCAATTGCCATCCCACAACGCTGCGACATCAATTCGCCAGTCCGTGACACAGACGATACAAAAACAAAACCTACACTTAGCAAATCAAAACTAAAACAATTAATGCATAATTAACGGGTGGGGGGGGGGGTACATATACACATAACAAGAAAAAAATATCATTACAGAGAAAATAGATTAAAAATAACAAATAAAAATAAATATATCCGTTCGGTCTCTTAACATATTACTGCCAAGAAAGGTCCTCCCATGTTGTAGCTGCTCACATTGAGACGACAGTGGGTTTACTTTATGGTCCTTAGTTTGGGTTGCATGGATCCACGATCGCGTGTCCCTAACGTGCCCCTATGGGCCTCTGTTGGTCTGCATACATCTCTGGGTCTCTATGTATCTCTCTGTGTCTTTATGTGTCTCGATGTATCTCTATCCCTTGCGTGTACGGCAATGTGGTTCAGGAGCTACGTGCCGATGCCCAAGGCCTGCTGCTGGCCACGACGAGGAGAGGGCTTGAGCAGAGTGAGAGAGTTCGCGTCGTGTCGCTGTTCCTTCTCCTCCTCCGACCACTGTGGGTTTACTAAACGGGCCGTAATTTTAGTTTGCGTGGCCACAACCGTGCAGCTGCGGCTCACGTCTTTCATCTTCCGTTCAAAAAGAAGTGCATAACAACCATTACATTGCTGTAAAATGTTCCTGAAGACCAGGCGAAGCGTCACTCTTCAGACTCCTAATATGTACAAACGCAACAACACTCAAAAGCTTTCGTGACTGCAGTGATTCATATTCTTGGTTCTTTCGGTAAAGTCACGTTGAAGGGAAACAATAAAATAATAAAATATATATAACAATTGTTTTATATATTGTTTATATATTTTTTTATTATTTTATTGTTTCCCTTTTATATATAAAACAATTGTTTTATATATATTGTTTTATATATATATATTTTATTGTTTCCCTTCAACGTGACTTTACCGAAAGAACCAAGAATATAACACTCAAAAGGTTCGTCAACAACACTGCCTTGAAAGGAAAATACAGCAAGCACATGTGTACAACAGGTGACGTTACGGGGCCAACGGGTCTGCATGTGATGTGAAGAAGGGCCATTGCCCGAAACGTCACCTATTACAGGATATAAATATAATTGAAGGCAGTGTCGTTGACGAATGTGTTGAGTGTTTTTTTGTTGTGCCTGGGCGTCTCTGTCAAACGCAACGGCAACAGCTTCAGTAGATAACGCTCTTCAATGTCCTCGATCACTGTTACCGCATTCCTTACCGCTGCCGTGACGTGCTTCAAACGAAGCGAGCCTGCAGCGCGAATATTTCGTCCCTGCACTGTGGCTCCAATGAGTAAGACACGCACAATGAGTAAGACATGCATGCCCATTGATACAATGAGTAAGACACACCATCCCCATTCATACAATGAGTAAGACACGCATGCCCATTCATACAATGAGTAAGACACGCATGCCCATTCATACAATGAGTAAGACACGCATGCCCATTCATACAATGAGTAAGACACACCATGCCCATTCATACAATCAGTAAGACACGCCATGCCCATTCATACAATCAGTAAGACACGCATGCCCATTCATACAATGAGTAAGACACGCATGCCCATTCATACAATGAGTAAGACACGCATGCCCATTCATACAATGAGTAAGACACGCATGCCCATTCATACAATCAGTAAGACACGCATGCCCATTCATACAATGAGTAAGACACGAATGCCCATTCATATATCAGTAAGACACGCCATGCCCATTCATACAATCAGTAAGACACGCCATGCCCATTCATACAATGAGTAAGACACGCATGCCCATTCATACAATCAGTAAGACACGCATGCCCATTCATACAATCAGTAAGACACGCCATGCCCATTCATACAATGAGTAAGACACGCATGCCCATTCATACAATGAGTAAGACACGCATGCCCATTCATACAATGAGTAAGACACGCATGCCCATTCATACAATGAGTAAGACACGCATGCCCATTCATACTTTGAGTAAGACACACCATGCCCATTCATACAATCAGTAAGACACGCATGCCCATTCATACAATGAGTAAGACACACCATGCCCATTCATACAATCAGTAAGACACGCATGCCCATTCATACAATGAGTAAGACACACCATGCCCATTCATGCAATGAGTAAGACACGCATGCCCATTCATACAATGAGTAAGACACACCATGCCCATTCATACAATCAGTAAGACACGCATGCCCATTGATACAATGAGTAAGACACGCATGCCCATTCATACAATGAGTAAGACACGAATGCCCATTCATAAATCAGTAAGACACGCCATGCCCATTCATACAATCAGTAAGACACGCCATGCCCATTCATACAATGAGTAAGACACGCATGCCCATTCATACAATCAGTAAGACACGCATGCCCATTCATACAATCAGTAGGACACGCCATGCCCATTCATACAATGAGTAAGACACGCATGCCCATTCATACAATGAGTAAGACACGCATGCCCATTCATACAATGAGTAAGACACGCATTCCCATTCATACACAACGCAATGGTACACGGCAACTTATGCATTTGCACGTGCCACGGGTGCTACCCCGAAATTGTAAGTTCATAACGATACATGATTAAAATATACACATGTATAGTTTTCAAAGACATTACCAAAGGGGATATACTGTACTTTAGTTTTATGTAGTCTGCTAAGCCGTATAAATAACATTGGCCTGCTTAGTTTTTAAACTTTTGATATCATTCGCCAATTCCTATAATTCACATTTTCCTGCCGTGTTCTATTATTTCAGATCGAATTGGCCACTGTTAGAGCCGTGACTCTGGACTCGAACCAACTCTGGCGGACTGCACTTCATGTTACGGCGCGCTAACCACTGACCCACCGCTCCTCCTGATCCTCATCCTTCATCATCATCATCCTCGCAATGCATCTGCAGTAGCTAAAAAGAATGCCTGCTGATAGGGAGAGATACTAAACGAAACCGACCCTGGTGATGTCTGCATGCCGCAGCCGAAAAGCGAGTTTGTCCCACAATCAAGGTGGCTTTTTTCTCACCAATTCTGGCTAACCGCCTGACGAAGTCGGCTGTCGCAATCGCCAGCGGAACGCCACGGTACTCGATTTGCAAATGTTGTGGGTTTACTCTCACGACACAAACGGGGTGGTGGTGGTTCTGATGGAGCAACGAATTGGCACGTTTTGTTTACGTGACGAACCATTACTAATTAGGCTGTGTCTGGCACGTGGTGGTGGTGCAGGAGTAACGACACGTCAAACAATGTACGCGATCTAACGCCAACAACAAAAATTAACAAACATTTATTACGGATAATAATATCGGTCGCGAAAGCCACACTACTATATACATACTTACATCCATAATAGAAGTTGTTTTGGGTGAGATCACGTAAATATAAATGTGTCGTTAAACCAGCCACCACCCGACAGCCAATTTGCAAGGTTTGTCACGTTAATAGAACATGTGTTGGAGAGTAAATCCACAACATTTACAACACATCCGTGTGCTGTACCAGTACCGAATTGGCATATTTTGTATACGTGACAAACATTACTAATTGGCTGTGTCGGGTGGTGGCGGGTTTAAAGACACATTGTTATTTACGCGATCGAACCCCATGAGAAAAAATAAAAATCCTATATAACGGATGACATTGGTCGCGCCTACTCCGTGTTATACACATACATACTTACGTTGTTTGGAGCCGCGAGTTTTCTGAACGTCACTTACCAGTGTGCGCTCGGGGGGAGAAGGGAGAGATGTCCCTGCACTGGCGACAAACACTGCGATGCCGGACGGCTGGCGAGTGGCGGGCAGTTTTTTTGCGCAAGGGCGCTGCCTCTCGGATTCTCGCGTGCAATTGGGGGGGGGGGGGGGGGGGGTTGGTGGTGCTGGTGTTTTATGGAGCCATGGTGAAGGGAGGGGGGCGGTGGGGAGGTCTGATCAGGTGTGTGGGGGGGGGGGAGGCGGCGGCTGGGTTGGGTTGGGGGCGGTCGAGGTGGCTGGTGGTGGGGTGGAATCTATTGCAGAGCCTGGGAGAAGTGTGGGACCCCCCCTCCCGAGGTGTCTGTGAGGTTGTCCGTCTTTGACGCGCAGTCAAACCTTTGTCGGGACGCGTGTGATTGAGCCTCTTTTCCCCAGGTCCAAGAGCCGCCGCCGCCACCACCACCACCGTCGTCGTCGTCATTCTCATCACCATCATGGGACTGTAGGAATTATCACGAGGTCTATAATCCGGTGGAAATGATTCTCTGCACCCCAAGGGGGAATTCGCAGGCAAGCGAGCGAATTTGCAATTTGGGGGAGGGAGCGGTAGGGTAGCGGCTAGCGTGCTGCGCCTGGGGCCACCAGAGTTCGACTCCCCCTCCAGAGTTCCATTCCCGCTTACGCCAACGCCAGTGACGATCATCTGAAACCCGTCCTGGGCTTCATATGGGTCGACTCAGGCGTAAAATTGAGTACCCGGTGCGTTGTGTGAAACATCGGCGGCCGGGCGTGGTGCTGGCCATCCACCCCTTTCGTGTGTCGTGCCGTCCTTAAGAGGCGCTGCTCGCTAACGCCACTTGCCCCAACAGTCTGTTGATGCTACACGGGGGGCGGGGATCCTTCGCCTTCTTCTTTGAGGGCATTAGAGGATAACAATAGAGCCCTGCTGCTGCTGCTGCAGACATCTCCCCTGCACGCCAAACAGCTGGCACATGCGGTGGCATTCGCCGGGTGGAGTGAAGTGGCCCCCTTCATCTCTGCGATGCCACCAGACACCAACTCGAGCTGCGAGGTTGTGGCGGTGCTCTATTAACTCGCGTGATATTTGTTAAACTGTTAAACTATTGCATTGACTTATTTTCCATAATCTAGCGAAGGGGGGGGGGGGGGTGTGGTTGGGTTAGATCGCGTTTATATGTGTCGTGCTCAGATTGTAAATCTTGATTTGAAGCTTTCGTGACTCCAGGAATCCATACTCTTTGGTTCTTTCGGTAAAGTCACGTAGGTAGAACATTAATAGATCACGACGTTTCGATCGCAACACAAGCATCCGTCATCAGGTGAGACAAACGCAGCAGGAGAACTGCTGTCTACGTGACTTTACCGAAATAACCAAAGAGTACAGATTGTAAATGTTGTGGCTTTGCTCCCCAACACACCGGCGTGCTGTGCGAGTAACGAATTGACCACGTTCTGTTTACGTGACAACACTTACTAGTTTACATATTTACGCGATCTAACCAAAAATAAACCTGCTATGGATGATATTGGTGTCCAGTTTGGGGCCGGGGCGTTGCACCCCCCCCCCCGTGCCCCCCCCGTGCCCCCCCCCCCGCAAACTCCGCCCATGAACCAACCCATATATATAAGAGGGGACTTAAATGAGCATTGTTTTTTCTTGACTTAAAGCTTTCGTGGCTGCAGGAATTTATGTTCCTTTGGTCTTTCGGTAAAGTCACGTAGACGTTTCGATCACAGCACAAGCGATCGTCATCAGGACGATCATCAGTGACTACACGCAACAGAAAAATCCAGGAAAAAACAGCAAAGGTCTTCCAGAAAAAAAAACCCACCGTATTTCAACGCTGTGTGCAAAAAAACCCAGCGAATGCAAGTCAAACAATAACAACCATAATACAATGTAGATTAAAGTTATCTGTCTAACTCTGTACTACAACAAACAAACATGGCTATACCAAAACGTTTTCAAAATCACCAAAATAAAGCTATAAAAACAATGTAACAGTGATCATAGGAACTGTGATTGAAATTTAACAATAAACGATATACATAACATGTACGACCAAACTTTGCAGCCATAGCTGGCTGCATGAGTCACTCCTGTGACTCCTGTGACTCATGCAGAGTCACACTGCTCCTTAGCCTCGGTCAGCCGACCCATCCGTCCTGCTAACTTATTTCAGGTGATGTGTGAGGCGGGGGGGAGGACCCATCTGACTATTGAACTATTTTTTTTATTTTACCAGGTAAGACCCACTGAGCTATGTAGCCTTTTAAAAAAAAAAGGCCTGGCCACAAATGATAGCCCAACGAAGTGGCTCATCATCATCATTGTGTGGAAATAGCAGCCAAATGCTCTAAATGTGTGATGTTGATTCTAAATGTGTGGGGGGGGAGGGGAACCGGAGGACCCGGAGAACAATCCACGCGACCACGGGGTGAACACGCAAACTCCAAAACTACAGCAGCAGCAGCAGGCGTCAGGTTCGAGATCGAACCCACGACCTCGTGTATACCAGGCGATGTAGTCAACATCTCCTAGCCACTGTGGCACCCTGAAGTGTTTCGACTCAATTGACGCTTCCCTGGATGAACAAGCGTAATGCCAACTCTCACTGACACAAACACCAATACACTAAACTGGGTGCAATGTAACAACACAAAATTCCCCCACAAATTTAATATTCATTCAAACGTGAAAATGCCCACGGTAGGCAGCAGAGGGCGGTCACGCGCTTAGCTGAGACACGTTCAGCTGAGCTCTCATAATAATTCGGTTTTACCCTTTCTGGCAATAGAACAGGAGGCGTTAAGATGTTAAAACACCAAACATAAACCTTTTGCAAGGAATCCTGTCTGCATTAACCACGCGTACTTGTGGTGAACATGCAAAACAACATTTTCTGATAATATATGGCATTGTCTTTTATATTGATCGATCCACACCAGAGGACAGCTTTCGTTAGAGCCTAGTCTCAAACAGTGTTAGACCAGAGGATGCCAAAAGGCGAACAGCACAATATATGTTTAACACGTAGGCCTTCGCGACCAATATTATTAATAATAAATGTTTTTTTGTGTGAGATCGTGTAAGTATAAATGTGTCGTAACCCTCCACCACCCGACACAGCCAATTAGTAAAGGGATTTGTCACGTAAACAAAACGCCAATTAGTTACTACTTCAGCCCACTGGTGTGTTTGAGAGTAAATACACATTTACAATTTGAGTAGTAGGACGTTTTGCTGGTAATTACATCCAGCATCATCGGGCAAATCCCGACACATTTATACTTACGCGATCTAACCCAAAAACCTTCATTATGAAGCACAATATATACTTGTGGCGAACAGCATGTTCGCCACAAGTATATGTGGTTAATGCAGACATGATTCCTAACACCCGTTTTATTGGCAGAAAGGGTAAAACCTATTATTATACTTCGATAGTGGCAAGGGAGGTCCATTGAATCAGTTCTCCTTGTTGCTGCCTCGACCACCGCCAACTCCACGTTCCTATCCCGGCCTCTTCAGCCACCATCTGGGGGAAGAAAAATACAAACTTGTGTTCGGTGAGGTCCTCTTGAAACACGTGCCCCTTCTGCGTCATCATCACCTTCACCATCATCAGCAACAGGAGCAACACCAGCAACAGCAACGGTGGTGATAGCAATGTCTACATGATCATGATTCAGAATCGATGTTTTTTTTTAGGTTGTGTAAGGGGCCGTCCATAAATAGCGTCACGCGATTTTGGACGATTTTTGACCCCCCCCCCCCTTCGTCACACGACGTCACAAAAAGTCAGACCCCCTCCCCTCAAATATGACGTCACAAAGCTCTGCCCCCTCCCCCAAAATAAAACATGCTTCAAATCGCTTTAAATTATTGTCATTGTAGTGCGTATTTAATGTGGCGATGCACTCTGATGTTGTAGGAGAAAACATTTATCAAAAAGTCTATTTAATTAAGTAGAACGTGTTGTCTATAGTTATTTAAAGTTGCGCATTTTGATGTGACGTCACATTTCTCAAACCCCCCCGCCTAATCACACATCGTCACAAATGTCTGACCCCCCCCCCCCTAGGTGCGTGACGTCATTTATGGACGGCCCCTAAGTGTAAAGCCAATTGTTGTCGTACACCCTGCTCCACCCGACACAGTAAAACAAAGTTGTAACGTGAACAAAAGTACGCGAAGTGATATTGTCAGCAATCCAGAAAGACAAATCGAGGCATCACCGCACCTCCAATTAGCACGATTGGCTACGTACGGCGCGAAAGAAGTTCAGCGTACATACGCACATGCCATCGTCATGCAATCATCGTTTCAGTCACGATTTTCAACAATGTTCATTGTCTTTTAACTTATTTATCGTCGTCACTGCCATCTTCTTAATGTGCGTGTGTGGCTGGCTTCCTTCCATCGCTTGCTACAAAGTCCGTAGCATCTAAAGCTGCTCGAAAGTTTCGTGAATACTCGATTCCATAAAAAAAATATTTGTGCGGTTGAGTTACGCAAAGGCATCCGTGCGGAATGTTCCACCACCTCCCCACGCTAACCGCAATGTACTGTACATCATATCGCATCTGATTCTTTAGATCTAAAAATGCTGGGTGCTAATATAGCAGATGTCAATGTGCCACCGTGTACGGAAAGCAGGAAATCAACAGAACCTGCAGGGTAAACGGCCAGAACTAGGAGGTATAGGCTCATTTAAAGAGGCGGGTTTGAAAGACAAACTGAACGAGGTCTTAACGACTCTTGATTGTGTTGTTACCACAGTCTGGGACAGCGTTCTTCATCGCAATGCCCCCGGGCCACTGGCAGCCCCTGGTGGCCTTTAGCGCGACCCCTGAAGTGCAGCCCCTAACAATACACAACACGTGACACTCACCCCCTGCCCATCATCATCATCATCGTGCTGCTGTCAAACCCAACAATGGTTTAAAATAATGTGTGGCGGCTCTCACGCTGGTGATGCCTCATTCGCGAAAGTGCCGCCGACCCCTCATCTGAAAATTAGAGAACACTGGCCTGGGAGCTGCACTGGCAAAAAAAAATCCCGATCACCCCAGGAAATGAGCCGTGACCCCGGGAGTACTCAGAAGACGGCCATCTGAAGATATCAGCGACCTCGCCGGAGTATGAACATGGACATCGATTCCCATACATATTCTGGGGAGAGCCCATTGAGAGAGCCTTCAAAGTTGAGCAGGAGGGATATCATTAGTCCACTCGATACTTGACTGGTATGGGCAGTGCAAAAACACAAGAAAGACGAGCAGGCGTGATGATAAGTGAACCCTGCTAATCAGAGGTGCGGGGGAATGACACGTGTGCTTGCGAAATTGTGTGGGCGTAAGGAATCAAGCAGCTGCATTCTGTCAAGGAGCACAAACCATCATCACGCAGTCGGTGGTCACCGCATCTCGAGGTTTCAGGTGCGTTTCTGCGGCCGTCTGGAACGCTCTTCCTTCCAATATTTGGAAGCCACTGGAACTATGCACCTTTAGATAATCTGGACTGAAAACTAATTTCTTTAGAACTGCTTTTGTGTGTTTAGCTTGTTGTCCTTCCCCCGCACCTCCAATTAGCACAGTTGGCTACGTACGGTGCTAAACAAAACGTGCCAGCAACAACGAGCTGGAGCCTACCCAGCAGCACCTGATAAGAAGTCATTCGGCGCAGTAATTCCACTGCCATTGGCTCAGCAACCTCATGAAGACTCCCCACCAATGACATTTACGCCGTGCTGTGTCGATCCACTCACGCCCCCCACCCTCCCCCCACACTAACCTACACCCCCCCACCCTACCCGCACCCCAACCCAACCCACCCACCCACCACCCCACCCTCCCTCCCTCCCCCTACCTTTCCCTACCCACCCCACCCTCCCTCCCCTCTTCCCCCTACCCACCACCCTCCCCACCCCCCCACCCTCCCCACCCCCCCACCCACCCCACCACCCTCCCCTACCCACCCCCACCACCCTCCCCACACTCGACGAACGCCCTGAGTGGTGGTGGTGGTAGCAGGAAGGGCGACCAACTTAAAGGCGTTGTCCAGCCAAACAAACCCAGAGCAGAGAAACGAGTTCATCCTGACGGACTGCCTCTCTCTCTCTCTCTCTCCCTCTCTTGTCTCTCCGTTCACGTGAAAGTTTTCGAGGGCGAGACCCCGAGGCAGCGATGGAGAATGTGGTGGCCGCCAACGCAGAGTTCGCCATCGACGTCTTCAAGACTCTGGGTGCACGGGAGGTCGGTGGCAATGTCTTCTTCTCGCCGCTCAGCATCTCCGCGGCGCTGGCCATGGTGCTGCTCGGCGCCAAGGGACAAACGTCTGAGCAAATGTCCAAGGTAACAACGACAACAACAACAAATAAACAGCAGCAGCAGCAGCAAATAAAAATCGCTCACGAATCCAGCCCGACAGCATGTGCCACGACTTGAACGTGTACTGTACAGGGGGGGGGGGTCCATATGTCTTGTGACCCACCCCACCCCGCCCCTCCCCTCCCAATTAATTCTCTAAAACTTAAATAAATCTTACTTTTAAAACGTGTCGTTTTAAAAGTAAGGTTTATTTAAGACAGAAATGGATGTGCAAAAGGGGGGAGACAAAAAACCCCACCCCGCATCAATCGAGGGGTCACGAGACATCTGGACCACCTGTGCAGTTTATTTTGTCGGCGTTTCATTCGCGAATGTTTGAGTGCACGGCTGTTGAGTTGCTGGTACACTGACGAGATGTACTCGACGGGGACACACATTTCGAACGATTAAAATAGTACAGTAGCATGCTGTGTGCTGCGACGGAAGGCACGTTGCCCAGAACGTCGTCGTGTTATCAATCAGGGCAGAGTATTCATGCTTTTATTTTTTAGAAGTGATGCCACAATCGTCGAACGCAATTTCTCCCGTTACACCCTTAACGCATATTCCAAGGGCTTCGCTGGCATTTGATTAAAACAAACAACAACAGAAAATGACAACATTTGTTTCGACGAAACGTCTAAGACAAAAGCAGTTTTTTTTGTTGTGTAACCCATAACATGAATTTAAATAGTCCGTTGTATATTTTGCCAATGCCAATTCATGATGCGGCTTCGATCATTCTCAATAAACGCACGCAGACGAAGATCAGCTAATTAAATGATGACGTCACCCTGCTGCTGCTGCTGCTCTATTTAAGACCGGGAGCAAGTGGAGAGGGCTTCACCATTCTGGCGAATTGCCCAATGATGATGCTGGGGATGTAATTGCCAGCGAAACGTCGTACTACTCAAAAACTGTAAATGTTGTGGATTCACTCTTCCACACACACCGGCGTGGGGCTAAAGTAGTGAACTATTTTTGTCTTTTGTCAACGTGACACTTTTTTTGCTGATTGGCCGTGCCCGGGTGGTGGAGGGTTACGAAACCTATAAATGACGCGATCTAACCCAAAAACCTTTATGATGGATTATTATGTAAGACCAGCGAACCGATTTCGCTGCTCTGCATTCCGCAGGCCACGATTGAGGCACTGCTCATGGTGGGGAGTGTCAGCATTGCTTTATGATGCGTGCAACCGCACCCCACTCTACAGAACATGTACACTGCACTTTACACAGGGGGCCATCCATAAATGACGTCACGCACCTGGGGGGGGGGTCAGACATTTGTGACGATGTGTGACGAGGGGGGGGAGGGGTTTGAGAAATGTGACGTCACATCAAAATGCGCAACTTTAAATAAATATAACAACACTAATTGTTATAACAACACTCCTACAACATCAGAGTGCAGCGCCACGTTTAAATACGCACTACAATGACAATAGTTTAAAGCGATTTGAAGCATGTTTTATTTTCAAAATGGAAAAATGGTTTGGGGGGGGGGGCAGAGCTTTGTGACGTCATATTTGAGGGGGGTCTGACTTTTTGTGACGAGGGGGGGTAAAAAAAATCGTCCAAAATCGCGTGACGTCATGTATGGACGGCCCCCCAAGGTCTAGCTAAACATTTCACGGCACTCTATGACGGTGAAAAAAAAAATTAGGGGTTTCGGTCCATAATAGACGGGGTTTTTTATTCGGTGTTTCATCGCGTAAACATATACATGTGTCGTTAAACCCGCCACCACCCGACACACAGCCAATTAGTGAGGCTTGTCACGTAAACAAAACATGCCAATGAGTTACTAGTTCAGCACCCCGGTGTGTTGGAGAGTAAAACACACAACATTTTACAATTAACATTGTTTTGTTTGGCCGGATAACCTGAGTGGATTCCTGTCTGCTTGGCTGCCGCGCTCACGATTGCTCGTGCGTGGTGACGTCTTGTGGACTCGTGTCACGCCTCACCCCACCACGGACGAGTTTCCGCACACAAATGCGCGGCATACTCTTATCATGCGAAATCATATCATCATCATCATCGTACTCTCACTATCACACTCATGCTTACCATACAGAGGGGGGAGGTGAAGTCAAGGAGATGGAGCGGAGAGGAAGAGACAGAGAGTGCTGGGGAGAGAGGGAAAGGGCATGAAATGGAGAGGAAAGGAAGAGCAAAACGGAAAGGGGACAGCGATGGAACGTGACGAGCAGCGGGAGAGAGAGGGTTAGTGAGAGGCAAGAGACATTGAGACGGGAAAGAGAGAGAGGTGGGAATAAGGAGAGCGACGGTGAGAGGTGACAGGTGAGAGAGTAAACGGGGGAGAGAGATCGTGGGAGGGAAGTGGGTGAGATACAGTGAAGCATGGAGAGAGAAATTGATAAACGGATGTAAACAAAGATGCAGCGACAAATCGCGATATACAGGACAGAGAATGCAAGAGATAAGTGGAGAGCGACAGGGCTCCGATATCAATTACATTTTTGCTGACTGGCGAGCTGGCTTGGAAGGATGGATGGTCACGTCCAAAGGTTGCCTGTTCAAGAAAACGAGTACACGGCATGTATCTTGCAGGTCCACATTTTAATACTCCAATAAAACGAGTACATATCCTATTGTGTGAATTGCTACCACGATACTCGTGAAGCTCACAGACTCCAAACCTCTGGACGCCTTCTCTTTAGCCCCACAGCTGCCAATGAATATCCCAATCCCATTCATCAATTGCAACGGTGTTGCATTAACCAGCTCCGCAATGATACTTGATTAAAAAAATGGAAAGTGGCCGTGCCAGTGGCATTGCTATCCACTGTGCAGGCATTGCTATCCAGGGTGCAGGCGTTGCTATCCAGTGTGCAGGCGTTGCTATCCAGTGTGCAGGCATTGCTATCCAGTGTGCAGGCATTGATATCCAGTGTGCAGGCATAGCTATCCAGCGTGCAGGCATTGCTATCCAAAGTGTGCAGGCATTGCTATCCAGTGTGCAGGCATTGCTATCCAGTGTGCAGGCATTGATATCCAGTGTGCAGGCATAGCTATCCAGCGTGCAGGCATTGCTATCCAAAGTGTGCAGGCATTGCTATCCAGTGTGCAGGCATTGCTATCCAGTGTGCAGGCATTGCTATCCAGTGTGCAGGCATAGCTATCCAGCGTGCAGGCATTGCTATCCAGTGTGCAGGCGTTGCTATCCAGTGTGCAGGCATTGCTATCCAGTGTGCAGGCATTGCTATCCAGTGTGCAGGCATTGCTATCCAGTGTGCAGGCATTGCTATCCAGTGTGCAGGCATTGCTATCCAGTGTGCAGGCATTGCTATCCAGTGTGCAGGCGTTGCTATCCAGTGTGCAGGCGTTGCTATCCAGTGTGCAGGCGTTGCTATCCAGTGTGCAGGCGTTGCTATCCAGTGTGCAGGCATTGCTATCCAGTGTGCAGGCGTTGCTATCCAGTGTGCAGGCGTTGCTATCCAGTGTGCAGGCGTTGCTATCCAGTGTGCAGGCGTTGCTATCCAGTGTGCAGGCGTTGCTATCCAGTGTGCAGGCGTTGCTATCCAGTGTGCAGGCATTGCTATCCAGTGTGCAGGCGTTGCTATCCAGTGTGCAGGCGTTGCTATCCAGTGTGCAGGCGTTGCTATCCAGTGTGCAGGCGTTGCTATCCAGTGTGCAGGCGTTGCTATCCAGTGTGCAGGCGTTGCTATCCAGTGTGCAGGCGTTGCTATCCAGTGTGCAGGCGTTGCTATCCAGTGTGCAGGCGTTGCTATCCAGTGTGCAGGCATTGCTATCCAGTGTGCAGGCGTTGCTATCCAGTGTGCAGGCGTTGCTATCCAGTGTGCAGGCGTTGCTATCCAGTGTGCAGGCATTGCTATCCAGTGTGCAGGCATTGCTATCCAGTGTGCAGGCGTTGCTATCCAGTGTGCAGGCATTGCTATCCAGTGTGCAGGCGTTGCTATCCAGTGTGCAGGCATTGCTATCCAGTGTGCAGGCGTTGCTATCCAGTGTGCAGGCATTGCTATCCAGTGTGCAGGCATTGCTATCCAGTGTGCAGGCGTTGCAACTGCACCAGGGCCCACGGGCTGGTGGTGCCCACGTGCTGAGCTGCAATGAGACGAAAGGCCGGTAGGGGCCTTGATTGCATTCCTTGCACCAGAGACGCAACGACCTAATTCGATAGGGGGGGCAACGCAAGTTACGACTGTGCCCCCCCCCCCCCCACTCCTTTATCTCGACTCGCTCTTACTGAAATAAAGGATGTTTTTTTTTTTTAACCCGTGTACAATAACGTCGGCATTAACGCTTTACCGTTTTGGGTTTATAGAGGAAAGACAGTCTCAAATTGACAGGTATTAATACAAAAATATTTAAAGGTAACAATACTGACAATTAAGTAATGTGCGTCTTAAATTTTGATTTAAAGCTTTCGTGACTGCAGTAATTCATATTCTTAGTTCTTTCGGTAAAGTCACGTTGAAGGGAAACAATAAAATAATAAAATATATATAAAAAATAAAAATTCTCACGACGTTTCGACCATAACACAAAACACCTGATGACGACCGTTTGTGTTATGGTCGAAACGTCGTGAGAATTTTTATTGTTTTATATATATTTTATTATTTTATTGTTTCCCTTCAACGTGACTTTACCGAAAGAACTAAGAATATTAATGTGCGTCTTGTTTTCATGCAGGCCCCACCGGTCTAGGATTTCCTCGATGGGAGTGGATTGCTCTGCTTGATGCTGCTGCTCTATTGATATGAAAGCCAGATGCGTTTATTGGGCTTGGTCCGTTGTAGACCGCAAGTATTTTTTTTATGGATTAAAAAAATAAATGAAAACAAAATTCTTAACGATTCTCACTTGTTTATTTGTTGATTCGAGCTCCCCTTGTGACCGACTGGGCCCCCCCCCCTCCCCCCCAAGAGTTGCGGCCCTCCCAGGGCCCATGCCAACCACACCACGCCGCCGCTTGTGACACAGCCACATTTGATAGCTGCCGAAACTCAACATTTACTCTCGTCTTGCAGTCACGATACGAAGCAATCATTCACAGATGACCGTACACTTTACGCAGCATGCTCATTTAAAATAACAAGCCGAAATAGGCCTTTGGCTGCCTGACGGCGGAGATACTTTACGATACTCCTTGGTTCTTTCGGTAAAGTCGCGTAGGCGTAGAAATTAAATTAAATAAATGGCGACGTTTCGAACGCAACACAAGCGTTCGTCTTCAGGTGAAAATCGCGATAGCTGCGATGTCTGCTGTGAGCAGCACGATGTCAGCTCCCTTTTACGATAAAAACAATTCTTGAGTGGGGTGAAAAACCTGGACACATTCAACAACAACAACAACAAAAAGGTGCAGGCAATGATACTCTCATGCATCATTTCAAGACCTTGAATCACAACAATCCACATCCTTTTGGTGTGACTCAATACTTGCCTGCTCATCAGAATGCCCGTCACAGCCACACGCAGCCTCTGCACAGGCTGCTGTGAGCCATGGGGCGAAGTCCATGCGTTGGACTCTTACAGGAAGGCGTGAAAATATTACATATGTGCATCTTTTTTTTCCTGTGCTAAATGTGTCGTAGGTGCTTTGCTATGAAGGAGTGAGCGATGTTCACGAAGCCTTCAAGGGCCTGCTCGGCACTTTGAAATCTCCCGGAGCGGGCTGCGTCCTTCGCCTCGCAAACCGTCTCTACGGCGAGAAGACCTTCGGCTTCCTCAAGGTGATCGGAAAGGGGAATGTTTAACCCAATGTAGAAAAATGTGATGTATGTACGTATGTTGCCCTTCTTTCGCACCGTACGTAGCCAACCGTGCTAATCGGAGTGTGCGGGGGAAGGACAACAAACTAAGCACAAAGCAGTTGTAAAGAAATACGTTTTCACTCTCGATTTTAAACTTAAACATTTGGCATGTTTTATTGCTGGAAAATGTATAACGTGTTGCCCATGGCTCTCTGCTTTAGGAGTTTCTAGATATGACTGAGAAGTTTTATGAGGCCGAGTTGGCTGCTGTGGACTTCACCGGAGCATTTAATGATGTACGGAAGGAAATCAACTCGTGGGTCGAAGGAAACACTGAAGGTGAATGATATATTTTCTCTTGTCTCAGGGTAAAGTATTTGTTTTTTCACATGTTGAGACAATACGGGAGGTGGCAGCATGGTGCAGTACATGGGGTCTCCACTTGCCTATGCAGACCTCTGAATATTATTCCTTTGCACGTGGGTGGGTTTTCTCCAGGTGTAGTATCATGCCTGTCAACCAAACACGGTTTACCCGTATTCTTGTACGGGGAAAATTTTTTTTAAAATGTAATTTTTTTTGTTTCTCCCTTGGTGAAGGGACTTTGTAGGGTGAACGTTGAGATTTATAAGGGCACGGGGTGACCAATAAGGTCTGAATTGGTCTGTAATGAGGTAGGCACTGATAAGCGGTTGACATGTATGCAGTATTCCATCTCTTCCCGCATATGATATACCTCAATGGAAGTGTCCAAATAGCCCCATTGCAAAACTGCACTGATTAAAAATCTTGATACTGAATGAGTTTTTTTACGTATTTCTATTTAACTGAATTCTACGTGTTTTTTCTCTTCTAGGCAAAATAAAAGATATCTTGGCCGAGGGCACTGTGGGCTCCACGACCCGGCTCGTTGTCGTGAATGCTGTTTACTTCAAAGGGAAGTGGACCACACCATTCAACCTTCAAAATACCGCCCAGACAACGTTTTACCTTAGCAAGGTAACTGCAACCACGTGCGTCCGCACACAGTGCGGGATAAATTGTGCATGGTGGTGAAGGCGTGGGAAAAAGTTGCGGATAATGACAAACAATGGGAATAGGGCCCTGAGGATAATCTAAAAAATTCACAAACCCTACAGCTGACGCATATAATAGGAGTCGCGGATAAGGGGGGTGGGGGGGGGGGCCTTGGATAAGAGGAGTTCTGTATGCACAATGGGGAATAACCAGTGATGTTTCATTTTTCTTGCACAGCGAGAGACGAAGCCAGTGCAGATGATGTTCCAAGAGAAAAAATTTAGACATGGATTTGTCCCGCACATGAATTTAAAAGTGCTTGAGCTTCCATATGTGGGAAATGAACTAAGCATGATTATTCTGCTGCCAGCTGCCATCGAAGATGAAACTACTGGTTTGGAAAAGGTATTTCACGTTACACATTTGCACATTCTAACATGTCCAATAGAATATCCACGTGTTGAAGACGTTTTAATTCAAGTGTACTCACATTAGTATGCTGATGGCATCAGTTCTCAATGTATTGAATCCTTGAAAGCCACCAATTGCATTGTATAATAGTATACCAATGAACCTATATATTTATTGTATTAACTTACAACAATAACATGCTGACTGACATCACGTGTCGTACACTATAATTGCAGTCTATTATTCTTTGTATTAGCACGGTTGGCTATGTACAATGAGAAAGAAGGTCAACATAACTACACAGTGCAGGCCCTTCTTCCACCAGTGGTAGGAGCAAGCAATGCTGCAGGGCTGCACATTCACATTCCAGTTTCGTGTGTGAGCACAGGAGTTGTTGCCTTCTCCCTAATGGTTCACCTGGGCATTGTCCGCTTGGTGGTCACTTGTGCTTTAATCGCGTCTTTTCGTTGTTCTCGCAATTAACGGACCAGCTGGAGAGGGAGCTGAACCTTCTGAACCTTCAAACGTGGACATCGCCCACGACGATGCGCTCTGGGGACGTTTTGCTGCACCTCCCACGCTTCCGCCTGGAGCAAAGCTACACCCTCAACGAGCCACTGTCGAGCCTCGGCATGGGAGACCTCTTCTCGCCGCTCACTGCCGATTTGTCAGGCATGGACGGAAACCGTGACCTGTTCGTTTCGCACGTGGCCCATCGCGCCTTTGTCGAAGTGAATGAAGAAGGGACCGAGGCGGCTGCCGCCACCACAATATCCGTAATGCTGATGTGTGCCATGCCCACGCAGCCACCCTTTACATTTTGCGCCGATCACCCATTCGTCTTCCTCATTCGTGACAACCGCAACGGAAGCGTTCTCTTTTTGGGTCGCTACACGTCCCCCTGAGGGTCCATCGAGGCTCCGATTTTTCGTTGAGAAATGTGTACCGTCTGATTTGGTTGTGCTGCTTTAAGGGGAAAATATACTCGCATACCGGTGGGAAGACACTGTCAGAGCGGGGGGGAAATATACTGGGGATAATATACACTCCACTTGAAATGTGTTGTTGTGGCACTCTTGATTATTGTTGTTTATAAGTATTGTTGGTAAAACTATTTAATTTTTTGGCTGCTGGGTATTGTTGGGAGGGCTACGTGATTAAAGTCTCTCGAATCTTAAAACTTGAAGTGCGTGTGAGATTGCTCTGGACACACCCGCAGTTATATCCACCAGTCACTTTACAATTATTAATTTCGGTTGTGACACGTGGTACATTTAATTTGCAGTTTCATGAAACAAAACAAGTTTAACTTTTTTGGAATAATAAGTGTTGTCTTGTTTTTATTGACAAGACTTTGGCAATGATTTCAAGAGAACAGCAGCTATCAGATATTACCTCAGTTACCTTGGTAAATATGTGTTAATGTCAACCACTTAGTTTATGTTTAAAACTGTTTATCATATACTCCATTGGACGCTGGTCGTGTATAGAGAGACAGAAAAAAAATAGTTGGACTGAATTAGACACCACAAGGGCCCTGACCTAAAATTAAGAATGTTTCCAGGTGAACAGTCTTACATTGGTGTATGCCATTACCCATTAGTAGATGTTAAATAACAGACAAACCCTTCAAAATATAAAAGAACGTTACGCAAAAATTTATTTGTATTGAAAGTAAAGTAATCAAAGGTTGCTGACATTGCATCATGGGTAACGTTATTACAGTTTGGTATCTGATTGAAGAGAGGCCCCATTGCCTGCTGAGTAACTCAATTATGGGCCTCACTGATTATTTGAATAGGTTCAAAGAGGTTCTCAAAGGTTGAATGAAAGGAGGTTGAGATATTTAGAAAAGACAACAAAGTTAGCCTTCACCCAATGGAAAGGGACTTCACTCACATCTCCAGGGCACACAAGACACTCGAGATTATTTTCTCATTTTCAGACCTTTATAAACACACCTCACCACGATCTTATACGTGAAACTCTTTGATCACGCCTTAGTGATAATGCAACTCGTCTTGAATCCGGACGAGATCGAGAACTGCCTCTGGTTTTTGGACAGACGACTCCTGGAGGAAGATCCGTTCATCAGGGAACTTGAGGATTTCTTTGAAAATAATATGGCCCCGACACCTCCTTCTTACCCCCAGATATTGTGGGATGCTCTAAGGGGATACTTCAGGGGACTTGATAGAGAAGGGTCCCGCATACAAACGAAAATCCAGGAAAGACAGCAGCAATTGGAGGAGACTGACCAGGCTTCACATAAACTTTAAGACCTCACCTTCCGCAGAAATCTTAAAATAAATAGACGGGATAAAACTGGAGCTCAACAACCTACTAAATGACCAAACATCAAGGCTATTTATAAATAAATAAAACTGGCTTCCATTCCACGAACCATCCCCGACCATCGCAAGGGTACTTGCAAGCATGTTGAAAACTAGGAGACATCGTTCACGCAGAGTGTCCATTCGCAAGTGAAACCCCCGCCCCCCCCCCACCACTAACCAATACCAAGGGTATCAATGAACAATTTATAGAATGCAATGAATCCCTTTACAAATCCGTCTCGCCATCTATTTAAGCCATCAGCTCCATCATTGACAAAGTCCGTTTACCCGGCTTGAGTGTGAATCTTGGCGAAAAGCTGTGTGGGCCCATCACGCTCAGAGTTACAGTTGGCCATAGCTGCGTCCCGGATTTCCAGTAGATATTTACAAGAAAATGCACACCCCCCCTCTCAACACAGCTCAAGGGCATCCTTGACGCCACGCTACAATCAGGGCAACCTCCCAAACTCCATGAATGATGCTCGGATATCTGTCCTCCGCAAACCAGGGGCCCCTTAGACTCCACAAGGGACAGCTACCGGCAGATCTCCCTTTTAGATTCAGACTACAAAAATGTTATCCACAATACAGGGGTTTTTTGGGGGGGGTTAGATCGTGTTGTTAAACCTGCCACTACCCGACAGCCAAAAAGTAAGGTTTGTCACGTAAACAGAACATGCCAATTCGTTACTAGTGTAGGGGTGTTGTGGGAAGGTAACACACAATCACACCATGGTGGCTACAACCACGTCCGCAATAGCCCCGCGCTCAGTGGTGTAGGGGTATAAAGGGCGGGGAGCCAGAGAGCTCGGGGCAGTGTTTTGGGGCCAAGAATGAAGAAGCAGTGAAGAAGGAAGGCCGGCTAGGATAGACCCTGGGACTTCCCTGACCGCTGTCCTTTTGAGGGCCGGCAGGGTAAGCCGGTGGTGCGGCCCCAGAGCCTCAGCCCTTTTAAGGGTTGGTCTGGTTGGTGGGGTGCCGTGATCTGTGCTTGACCAGGGCCAGGTCAGATAGCCTCCTCTAGCGCCTGTAGCTGGAGGAACTGGGAGCGCAGGAATTAGGCGAGATAGCCTAGGGGGTGTCCCAGCGTGTGTACGGGTGAAGGGGCCGTTACCCCATTCCAGTGTAACCCCTGTTGAGTTAAATAAACAGTGCTGCCTCTACTCCACCGTCTCCGTGTCCCGTGAACCCACTACACTAGTACAGCACACCGATGTTTTGGAGAGCAAAGCCACAACATTTACAAGCTGAGTACGACGTTTCGCCAGTAATTACAACTAGCTTCATCAGGCGACAGCCAGATTTGTGGAGAAATCTTCCTGCTTCGTTCTTTAATTAGAGGGGTAGATGTGATGACGTCACTTGTGAGCCCTTCACGTGCGGGGGGGGGGGATTAATGAATACAAATAAGAGAATAGGTTTTCCACTTTTTTACAACGGGTATCCATTGCCGGTTGAGTTATTCATATCAATATGGTAATGCATGTTTAAGAGATCCTCGCAACATTTTTCATGTATAATATATTTTTTCAATAAGATTTAAAATTGTAAAACATTTGAAAATGTAAAACTTTTACAATTTTTTTTACAAATTTTAGAACATAAAATGCCGAGCAACTCCATCTTACCTTCCAGAGTTTTTATTTGCATTGCTGGCAGGTGAAATGAGGTGCCCAGGGTTTGTCTTGATCCCTGACAGGCATTCCGAAATATGCCTTGTAGGCTTCACACACCTTAGCAGATGCTTCCACATAGTACTTTGTCGCTATTGTTTTGATAAATTGGCCGCAGAAATAGCAAAATGTGTCTGCCGGATGCTTGCAGCCTCTTGATGCCATCTCAGAAAAATGCAGATATGTATCCATTTAGGCAGCTGGAACTAAACTGAACTGGTGGGCTTAAGGTCCCTGTATTTATACTATTTATATTACTGGAAAGTTCTAGAATGTTCTAGAAGTTACTCCAAGTTTACTCAATGTTCTGGAAAATAGGTAAATTTCAAAATATCACTGTCCTGATCACAAAAGCAAAGTTTGTGAGGAATAATAGCCATTTTCTGGACTTTTGAGGCATAAGCAATTAGGAAATAACACTACCCCAGAACAACAAAAAATCTGTTACACTGTATATAATCAACGTACATTATGCATGCACATTATGCATACTCATTGTTCTTGTACCTCCTACCAGTACCTGCTATTGTCTGCGTACAGGTAATCCCCAATGATGTATGGGTGACAATTGTAGGCATGCATTTAAACAATGTGTTGTGTTGTAAATGGCGACGCTGAGGCAGGTCTTTAAGTAAGGGCTTGCGCCGGTTTATTAACAACGAGCTTGACTACCCGGCTTCGCCCAGGACTTGGATTCATCACGCCCGGCCGCCTTTGTCTCCCCAGTGGCGATGTTCACACACCGCACCAGGTACTCATTTGAGGCTGAGTCGACCTAGGGGAGGCCCAGGACCCGTTCAAATAATCGTCACCGGTGGTGGCCGTGAGCGGGAATCGAACCCGGGTCGCCGGGTTCATAGTGCAGCGTAGCGCTAACCACTACACTACCGCTCCCCCCACACACAGACACACACACAGACACACACAGCACGCTAACCACTACACCACCGCTCCCCCCACACAGACACACACACAGACACACACACAGCACGCTAACCACTACACCACCGCTCCCCCCACACACACACGCGCGCGCGCGTCCATATGTACACATACACGCGCTTGCTGCAGACACACCACACAACTTTCAGGGTGCGTACGGCAGGAAACGAATGAAATAATAAAGCAATGCTGCGTGAAGAACGCCTTAGACCTGCAACTCATTTGTATGGCACTTTACCCGCGGAGGGTTGGGGGGGGGGATGCGTGACGTCGGCAGGCACTGCGTTACGCTTCCGCATACGGGTCACATGACAGATGTGACGTCACAGCTCACTTGCCGTGCAAAATATATGCATTATTGCGCCCCCCTTCCCCCCCCCCCCAAAAAAATACAAAAGTGTATTTTTTTATTTTTGCATGGTGTACAGTCTGGAAAGTACCCACACGGCAAATTCCAAGTTTGTTGCATGTCGGGAAGTACGCGAAACATTTTGAACAGACACACATTCTGAACTGAACTGAACCGCTCACCATCCCGGGCTCCCACAACGACCCCCCCCCCCACTTCCGTACCTCGAGGTGACATGACGTCAGCGTACCTCACAGCGCGTATGACGTCACAGTCTCCATACTACTCTACAAATGTATTATTAGTTCTCTCGGTAAAGTCACGTAGAAGGGAAACAATTAAATGATGAAAATATAAAAAAAAATGAGAATTTAATTGTTTTATATATTTTTTTATTGTGACTTTACCGAAAAAAAAAAACAAGAATATGAATCCCCTTGCAGTCACGAAGGCTTTAAATCAAGATGTATTATTGTTTAAATGCATGACCTGTACAACAGAGACCCGTCGTTCTCACTGTCTGTAAAGCAATCTTAAAATTACAATCCCAATGTAGCAAGGTCCCTCCTGGAAAAAAAGGGTGCCTACGACTCAGTCTGGCTTCCTGGATGACAAAACAACCAAAAAAAAACGTGGCACTTTTATTTTCAGTCGGGGCTTCTGCGGCTCGCAGGGCGTTTCCAGCCACCGCGACGCAGAGCGGTCGAGCGAGTTCGCGTCTTGGTTGTGGGTCTCTCTCCCTCTGCGCCAAAGCAGCAAAGTTGGGACGAGGGCGAGACCCCGAGGCAGCGATGGAGAATGTGGTGGCCGCCAACGCAGAGTTCGCCATCGACGTCTTCAGGACTCTGGGTGCACGGGAGGTCGGTGGCAATGTCTTCTTCTCGCCGCTCAGCATCTCCGCGGCGCTGGCCATGGTGCTGCTCGGCGCCAAGGGACAAACGTCTGAGCAAATGTCCAAGGTAACAACAACAAACCAACAAACAACAACAACAACAGCAGCAGCGGCAAAAAAAAATATCCACGTCGCTTGCACGCGCGCTCACCAGCGGGTAAACGTGATACAGAGAAACCGGGCCGCATGCGGCATCGAACGCTGTGGGCTAGCCGGCGTTTTGTGCACTCCGCGTGTGCATTCGGGGGATCTCTCCTGTGTCGAGTTCTGTCCAGCCGCAGAGTGGTCCCGGATGTCTCGTGACCCCCATTCATCATTTGCTCTAAAACGTGATTATTATTTTTTTTTTAGCGCGCGTACCCATCGGGCGCGTGGACATGTTTAATGTAAGCGATGTAGCTTTATTAAGTGTCACCGTTAGATATTTCACAGCAATACTTTGGGACATCGTTCACGGTTTGTTTTTCTGGTTTTGTGATCTTTCGTGAGCCCATGCGCCCACTACAAGACGTTCTTCAATAGCTTATGAACGAGACGTTCTTCAATAGCATGTGAACTCGCAACAGGCATCTCAAATAAGTAAAAGTGTTAATTTAAAACAGAAATTAATAAACAAAGGGGCAACAAAAATGTTAGTCGTCAATGAAGTACATAGCACATAAACACACAAACAGTACTGGTGGTGCTGTCGTACTGTATGGGTCATTTCACTACTTCCTTGTGTTGTACAGGACGATATGTTCACGTGTTTAAGTGGGGTGTCATGCCGAGAATCTCTGCGTGCAAATTGTGTCCGTGTCTTGTAATCCGACACATGAACACGTATCACAGGTGAGCGAGGCCACTGTCGTGAGGATTTTGAAGAAGATGTATTTTGTTTTACTGGTAGGAACCTCCTGGTTACACCACCAGCCCACAGGGGATTATTGTGTCCGTCCGTCGTGCATCCAAAAATGTGAGGGGTGGGGCTGGGTGGGGAGGGGAGGGTGGGGAGGGGCTGGGTGGGGAGGGAGGGGCTGGGTGGAGAGGGGGGGGGGCTGGGTGGGGAGGGAGGGGCTGAGTGGGGAGGGGGGGGCTGGGTGGGGAGGGAGGGGCTGGGTGGAGAGGGGGGGCTGGGTGGGGAGGGAGGGGCTGGGTGGAGAGGGGGGGGGCTGGATGGGGAGGGAGGGGCTGGGTGGGGAGGGAGGGGCTGGGTGGGGAGGGAGGGGCTGGGTGGAGAGGGAGGGGCTGGGTGGGGAGGGAGGGGCTGAGTGGGGAGGGGGGGACTGGGTGGGGAGGGAGGGGCTGGGTGGAGAGGGGGGGGGGGCTGGGTGGGGAGGGAGGGGCTGGGTGGGGAGGGAGGGGCTGGGTGGGGAGGGAGGGGCTGGGTGGAGAGGGGGGGCTGGGTGGGGAGGGAGAGGCTGGGTGGGGAGGGAGGGGCTGGGTGGAGAGGGAGGGGCTGGGTGGAGAGGGGGGGCTGGGTGGGGAGGGAGGGGCTGGGTGGGGAGGGGGGGCTGGGTGGGGAGGGGGGGGCTGGGTGGGGAGGGAGGGGCTGGGTGGAGAGGGGGGGGCTGGGTGGGGAGGGAGGGGCTGGGTGGGGAGGGAGGGGCTGGGTGGGGAGGGAGGGGCTGGGTGGGGAGGGAGGGGCTGGGTGGAGAGGGGGGGGGGCTGGGTGGGGAGGGGGGGCTGGGTGGGGAGGGAGGGGCTGGGTGGAGAGGGGGGGCTGGGTGGGGAGGGAGGGGCTGGGTGGGGAGGGAGGAGCTGGGTGGGGAGGGGGGTGGGCCCTGGTGGGGAGGGAGGGGCTGAGTGGGGAGAGGAGGGTGGGGAGGGCTGGGTGGGGAGGGGCTGGGTGGGGAGGGGAGGGCTGGGTGGGGGGTCGGAGGGGTGGGGCTGGGTGGGGCTGGGTGGGAAGGGGCTGGTCACCCCGTGGTGCCCTTATAAAACTCAACGTTTAACCTACTCACGCCGGCTTGTGCCCGCCCTCACAGTCGGGCATATTTGCGGAATACACCACGCCGCCATTGACCCTGGCCACTGACCGAGCAACCCAACGTAACTCATGCAGATACTCATGCAGATTGAACAACAACCTACCTTCACGAAAACAGGTGTTAAGATGGTCAAACACCAAAGAGAAATATTTTTGCAAGGAATCGTGCCTGCATTTACCACCCACGGTGCTTGTGGTGAACATGTGATCAAACATGCTCTGGTAATGTGTGCATTTTGCTTTGAAACTGATTGGCCTACACCAGAGACAGCCTTCTTTATGGTCTAGTCTCACCAGGGTCAGACCAGAGAACGCCAAAAGGCGAAAAGCATTGTCTTGGAAACAATCAGTTTCAAAGACAATGCATATATAATTTTAGACTGAAAACTTTCGTGACTGCAGGAATTCATATTCTTGGTTCTTTCGGTGGTCACATAAATAGAAATAGAAAAATAAAATGAAAATAACAAGATAAAACTAAAACATTCAATTAAAATAAAAAATGCATTGCAAATAATAAAAGCAAAGAACCCACGACGTTTCGATCGCAGCACAAGCGGTCCTCATCAGGCGGAGAGAAAAGTGGGGGCAAGCCTCCAAATGTAGCTGCTTATAAGGGTTCCAGAGTGAGTGGGCGGGGGAAAGGGCTACGCAAGCAACACGCTCTGATAGAATTATCAGAGCGTGTTTTTTGTTTGCATGTTCACCATAAGTACCGTGCGTGGTTAATGCAGATTCCTTGCAAAAGATTTCAATTTGGTGTTTGAACATCCTAACGCAACTTCCGTTTCGTTGCCAGAAAGGGTAACACGTATTCTTCCTTACTCTTTGGTTCTTTCGGTAAGGTCTCGTGGGTAGAAACATTTTTTTTTTATACCTACGTGACTTTACCACGTAGATAGAAAAATAAAAATGACGGGATGACTCACTCAATTTTTATACCTGCTAACTGACTTTACCGAAATAACCAAATGAGTATGGATTCCTGCAGTCACGAAAGCTTCAAATCAAGATTATTCTTACTTGATCAACCTACTTTGTGCTGAGTAGTGTCACATTGCTCAAACCCTGCCTTTGGGCCCTTAATTAACAGGCGCGTGTGCTAACAACACCAGGGTCTGTTCATCAATTCCCTGCTGTGCCCGTCATTGTCGAGTTGAAGAACTGAAAATGCGAGCGATCGCCGCATCGTCGCGTCTCACGATACGATACCCAAATTTCACGATTTGACGATTATCGTGGTATCGGTTTCCCATAGCTTTGTAACCATTGTTTATTGTTTTGCTTGCATGCTTTGTTGTTGCACGTCACCTACGAATAAAGGTAACTTAAAAAGTTATTCAAAGTTGTGGCTCACTGGACACGCGCCCGGCTTGAGTCATGTGCGGCTCATTACAATGTTACAATTGTTCGAGCATACATAGTGCACGCGCTTCTCAGTTTATACAAGATGAAATTCAATCGTGCGATTGACTCGGCATCTGGCCACGTAAATGCCATTCAAGCACAGGAAGACTTTCCGTTGTGGTACAGAGGGGCGCTACTATGGTGGGCAGGGGGGGGGGATGGCGTTATGTGGTGGCAGCGTTATCCGAAGCACAGGAGGCCCAGCCGGCCGCAACAATTCACCGTAAATGCCAAACAAAAAAATACATTGTTACAAACGAAACGATAATATTTCCGAAATTTTCCGAAAAATACACGCGGCATGAAATATAGTAGCCCGCTACTGCTGGTGTTTGTCGCTGGACACGGTTACTTAATTGTGAGTATTGTACCCTTAAATATTTTTAATTAATACTGTCAATGTCAGACTGTCTTCCTTTAAACCCAATACATGGTGCAACTAAAATGATATATAGTTGTCACCTAACATATGATTGTACATACGGGGTTAAAAACATCGGGAGCTATTTCGGTAAAAGTGAGTTGGGAGGAAGGAGGGGGGCCCACACAGTCTCTACCTTGCATAGCCCCCCCACACAGCCATTGCAAATAATACAACTAAGACGATGCGAATGGAATGAAAATTGTATCCATGAATCATGTCCCCGATTCACGACAATACATAGCAAATCGCTTGTGGTGTGAATCATTATGTGCCCGCCCATCGGAATGCCCATCATGGCTACATGTAGCCTTGGCTCTGATCGGTGCGAGTCATCCGATGAGGTGTGAGCCATCCACACGACAATGAAAGTGTGTTAACGTACTCGTGCCTGTGTCCATGTGCTTCGCTCGTAGGTGCTTTGCTATGAAGGAGTGAGCGATGTTCACGAAGCCTTCAAGGGCCTGCTCGGCACTTTGAAATCTCCCGGGGCGGGCTGCGTCCTGCGTGTCGCCAACCGTCTCTACGGCGAGAAGTCCTTCGGCTTCCTCAAGGTGATTAGAGGGAGACATTTTTAACCTAAGGGGCCGTCCATAAATGACGTCACGCACCTAGGCGGGGCGGGAGGGGGGGTGTCAGACATTTGTGACGATGTGTGACCAGGGGGGGGGGGCGGTTTGAGAAATGTGACGTCACATCAAAATGCGCAACTTTCAATAAATACAGACAACACGTTCTACTTAATTAAATAGACTTTTTAATAAATGTTTTCTCCTGCAACATCAGAGTGCAGCGGCACATTAAATACACACTACAATGACAATAGTTTAAAGCGATTTGAAGCATGTTTTATTTTTTTTGGGGGGGGGCAGAGCTTTGTGACGTCATATATGTGACGAAGGGGGGGTCAAAAATCGTCTAAAATCGCGTGACGTCATTTATGGACGGCCTCTTGCATAGGTACATACGTTGAACTTCTTTTGCACCGTACGTAGCCAACTGTGCTAACCGGAGGTGCGGGGGAAGGACAACAAACTAAACACAAAGCAGCTATAAAGAAATACGTTTTCAATCTAGATTTAAAACTTAAACATTTGCCATGTTTTTTTCCGCCTACAAATGTATCTTGCAGTAAATGTGTTGCCATGGCTCTCTGCTTTAGGGGTTTCTAGGTGTGGCTCAGACGTTCTATGAGGCTGAGTTTATCAAGGTGATGAGAGAGACAGAGCGAGAGACGTGTTTAATCCGATGGAGAAAAGTGTCGCTCACCTAAACATTTCGCACGATGTTTTTATTTCTCCGGAAGTATTTTATGAACAAGACGATTCATGTACACAACACAGAGAGGATATGAAAGGAGGCTGACACCAGCACAACCGCACATTACAGACTACAGTGCAATGGAGACCCGTCTAAACCGCACGTTGCAATAAACTCTCCAACTCCCCTGGTGTCTTCCTGAGATTTGATACCCACGTCGGCGAAGGGGAAAAAGGGGGAAAGGGTGGGGAGGGGCCTAAATGCCCGAATCAGTGCTCTCAAGAATCAATGTAAGCTTCCTCCCTGCCCATAGTTTTGCACTTAGATGCTCGAGAGCGGCAATTTATGACAATTTATTGGCCCATTCCTGCAGTGTTGGGGGAGCGTGCTTTTTCCAGTTGGCTATAATGATGCGTTTGTTATTCATATTCTTGGTTCTTTCGGTAAATTCTAGATTTGAAGCTTTCGTGACTGCAAGGATTCATACTCTTAGTTTTTTTCGGTAAAGTCACGTAGGTAAAATAAAAATGAAATAAAACAACTAAACAACTAAAGTCACGTAGAAGGGAAATAATACAAATAAAACAATAAAATTCTCACGACGTTTCGATTGCAACACAAGCAATCATCATCAGGTGCGTTTGTTGTTTTCCTTTTTACAAATGCATCTTTGATGTAAACAAAACTCCCCCCCTCCCTCCGTTGCAATAGCTCTCTCTCTCTCCTCTCTCTATCCCCTTTAGGGATTTCTGCAAGCGACTCAGAAGTTTTATGACGCCAAGTTGGCTGCCGTAGACTTCACGAAATCATTTGATGGTGTGCGGAAGAAAATCAACGCCTGGGTGGAAGAAAAAACTGATGGTGAAGGGCACTTTCGCTCCTCTTTTCGAAGGCTCGTGGAGGGAAGCTGCCTGCAATACAGCACTTGGGAGACTATTCACGCGGTGGCAGCAAAACTAAATGGGTTATAAACTTGTTTTTGCACCCCTTTAGTACCGTACTGTAATAGTGTGTGTATGTTGAACTTCTTTCTCGCCGTACGTAGCCAACAAACTTAACACAAGAAGCAGTTTTTTTTTTAAAGAAAGTGCGTAGCTCCAGTGGCTTCCTGAACAGGAAGAGCGTTCCAACCGGCCGCAGAAGCGCGTCTGAAAGCGCGCGATGCGGTGACCGTCTTTGTCTGATGGCCCAGCCAAAATGCCCGCTGCGATGATGACCGGAGTGTCGCGTGATGGTTCGCGCGCCTCGCCGAGATCAGCGAGGTGCTGCAGTTTCATTTGCGGCGAGTGCTTTGTGTGTAACGAGCGCGACCTTATAATGTATTTGTTGGGCAAACGAAAGGCAATTCAGCCCGGCGAGCACCGGACGGACCCGATCGGATGTTGCAGTACCAAACACGGCACGGGTACTGCAACATCCGATCATATCCTCCGTGCATAGGTGGGGTTTCTCTGGCTACTCCATTTCTTTGCACACGTGATGCTTCTAAAAGGGAAGTGTTCAAATACCCGAATGTAGAAGCAGACTGGGATATTGTTTAGAGTCTCAAATTCGTCTCTAGAAATGTATGACTTTTGTGTTAGTTTAAAGTTGTCACTTAAGTGTTATGTTTAACTCAATGGTGCACGCTTTCCCATCCTAGGGAAAATAAAGGATCTTCTGGAAGAGGGAACTTTGGATGTCATGACTCGACTCGTGATTGTGAATGCTGTTTACTTCAAAGGGAAATGGACCAAAAAGTTTAACTCTCAAAATACCACTCAGAGCAACTTTCATCTCAACCAGGTAACTGTAACCACGTTGTTTTTATTTTGATTTAAAGCTTTCGTGACTGCAGTAATTCATATTATTTTGTTGTTTCCCTTCAACGTGACTTTACTGAAAGAACTAAGAATACACGTTGTTTTTGTTTTACCCGTGATGAGATTGTCGTCAAATTTAACGAGGATTGTTTTTGTTAATATTTTTGTATTTCTAGTTGAGTAAAATATGTAGCTGGTTTGTAATGTTTAAGTAATGTGAATATAATGTATGGACACTATCAATAAGTTCTCGATTGAATGTACTGTACATGTTTGTATGACAAATGCACTAAATGAAAAGAGAAATTCCGACAACAAATGATATTATTTCGACTTACCCACCAATGAAATAATATTGAAATAGACAAAGCAATAATATATTGGTTATATATTTATACATAACGGATTTATACACTGAAAATTAACCGTGTTAAATTGCATTGCCTGTGATTTCAGATACAAATATTGGTCAGCCAACTGTCGTGTATTTAAATTTTTTATTTCATTTTATGATGTAACACTGATGTACCGCTTGCAGACTTATTGGCTGTTTATTGATCTGATTAACTTTTAAATACTGACGTGCAGAACGAACTTGAAATGTACATTACCAAGAAGACTTGGCCCTCTTTCTTGGTTGCAATGGTGGAACCATAGATGCACAATGGGGAAATAACCAGTAATGTGTTCTACTTTTATTACACAGCGAGAGACAAAGCAAGTGCAGATGATGTCCCAAAAGAACACGTTTCAACATGGCTTTGTCCAGAACATGAACTTAAATGTTCTGGAGCTTCCGTATGTGGGAAATGCACTGAGCATGATTATTCTACTGCCAGCTGCCATCGAGGATGAAACTAACGGTTTGGAAAAGGTATCTTCCTTACACAAATGCACACACTGCATCGTTTCAATTTCAAAATACACTTCGGAATTATGCTAATATCGTCAGTTCTAACCCCCGTCAATGCTTTGAAGCTATCAAAGTGTACACTTTTTTACATGAGCTTACATTTGAATAAATATTGTAATATGACGGGACGAGAGACAACAGCTGTGATGCTTCCATGGTTTAACGGGTTGGCACATTGGACTTGCAATCAAGAGATCACGGGTTCGATCTCCCAGCGCGGAAGTGGTAACGATTTTTTTACAAATATTACATAGAAAACAGGGGGAACATAGACATAGAGTAGGGAGAGTGGGGGTAGAGAGAGGGCGTAGAGAGAGATGGAAGGGGTAAGAAGAAGAAGAGCAGAGCGTGAAGTCTTTTGTGAAATCTTTCATTTAAAAAGGGGGGGGGGGGTTACGTAAAGCAAAGCATTGAAAAAAAACCGAAATGATGAACGAAGCAAAGTGCCGACTACACCGAGCATCTTCTTGTTTCCTCTGATCGTACAAAAAAGAGAGGCGAGTTTCTCAAACCCTCCCCCGCCTGCCTCTCTCTCTCTCCACCCAGCGGTCGCGCGCTTTGCTGCTTGTTGGCGACTCTGGCGGTTCGTGACCTGGCATTCCGCCCTGGTTATTACTGTGCGTGTAATTAATCATACACACGTGTAATTAATCATACACACGCGTAATTAATCATACACACGCGTAATTAATCATACACACGTGTAATTAATCATGCACACACGTGTAATTAATCATACACGTGTAATTAATCACACACACGTGTAATTAATCACACACACGTGTAATTAATCACACACACGCGTAATTAATCATACACACGCGTAATTAATCATACACACGCGTAATTAATCATACACACGCGTAATTAATCATACACACGCGTAATTAATCACACACGTGTAATTAATCACACACACGTGTAATTAATCACACACGTGTAATTAATCACACACACGCGTAATTAATCACACACACGCGTAATTAATCACACACACGCGTAATTAATCATACACACGCGTAATTAATCATACACACGCGTAATTAATCATACACACGCGTGATTAATCATACACACGCGTGATTAATCATACACACGCGTGATTAATCACACACACGTGTAATTAATCATACACACGTGTAATTAATCATACACACGCGCCGTTTGCTTCGCAGCGATGTTCAGAGATAGTTGTTTGTTGTCCTCCCCCCCACCACCACTCCCGCCGAGCACCTCCGATGCATCATGGTTGGCGACGTACGGTGCAAAAGAAGTTCAGCATGCATGTTACACGTATCAATCATCGCCTCCTTCTGTCAGATACCCCTCCCCCCCCCACACTTGCCGGCCCGTGATAAGCCACCTTGTGTCACACAAGGGGAGAGCTTCCATCGGCGGGGGGGGAGGGGGGGTCCCCCCTTTTGACCAAAGAATAAAGCTGTGCTCCGAGACGCTGCATTACGTTAATGGGCGCTGTATAAACAACAGGCTTATTATGAGAAATGGGGTGAAGGCGTTGGGTACATGCAACGTCCCTCGAGATATCTGGCAAGTAAGGAAGGGCAGGTTAAACAATCTTCCAGAGGGGTTCTACAGAGGTCGCTGTGGCGATGGCCGTTCTGCCAGCAGGAACGTGAGCAAGCAATTGCAGGAATGCACCTTTGCATCTCGGTTAGGTGTGAGGACGGGTGAGTTTTTTTTTTTACAGTCGCCGTTTGCCCTCGCCGTAAATGTTCACCGAGCATTGCTTACCCCGGTCACTTTTCGTTTCAACCGCGTCTCTTTCGTTGTCTTCGCAATGAATGGACCAGCTGGAGAGGGAGCTGAACCTTCAGAACCTTCAAACGTGGACATCGCCCACGACGATGCGCTCTGGGGACGTTTTGCTGCACCTCCCACGCTTCCGCCTGGAGCAAAGCTACACCCTCAATAAGCCACTGTCGAGCCTCGGCATGGGAGACCTCTTCTCGCCGCTCACTGCCGACTTGTCGGGCATGGACGGAAACCGTGACCTGTTCGTTTCGCACGTGGCCCATCGCGCCTTTGTCGAAGTGAATGAAGAAGGGACCGAGGCGGCTGCCGCCACGGCGGTCACCATTAAACTGAGGCGTGCCATGCCCACGCAGCCACCCTTTAAATTTTGCGCCGATCACCCATTCGTCTTCCTCATTCGTGACAACCGCAATGGTAGCGTTCTCTTCTTGGGTCGCTACACGTCTCCCTGATTGATGCACGCCGAGGCTCCGATTGTACACGGTAGAAACCCCCTCCTCTTAACGACGGTAATTGATTCCACGAAACCGGTCGTCAAGTGATCTGGTCGTTAAGCGAGTGTAGGACTATACGTTAAATGATGAATTCGTTCCGAACAGCATCGAATGTAAACAATGCCCCGACGCTCATGAATGGATGTCGCTGATTGGCCGAGGCCTGGTAACTTTACACTACACTATACACTACTACTGTATACTATACACTATACATTGGGCTCTATGGAGGCCCGTCGTTAAGCGATTAGTCGGTAGCAGGGGGTTCTACTCTACACTACTATACACTACACTACAACACACTACACTATACACTACATTACTATACACTACACTCTACACTAAACATTGGGCTCTATGGAGGCCCGTCGTTAAGCGATTAGTCATTAACAGGGGGTTCTACTGTATATATTTCAAGGTTTATTGGCACGTTAAAATGCGTTAATGGTAATGGGACACATTTTGATTTAAAGCTTTCGTGACTGCAGGGATTCATATTCTTGGTTCTTTCTTTTATTATTTTATTGTTTCCCTTCTACGTGACTTAATCTGCAACAAAAGTCTACGCCACCAGGCTGAATGATATACACGTATCGTAATATCACATTGCAGCGTCGTAAAAAGGAAATATTTCAATTGCTTTCTGGAATTACGTGTTGATAGTACTAATTTTTTTATTATTATAGATTATCAAATCGATGCACAGCAGCAATCAGCTTTCAATCAACAACAAAAAATCGTCTAAACTCATTGTAATTAAAAAAAAAAGTGTTGCTGGCTGGCTTTCTGCCTGGATACCCAGCTCAAAAGTGGACACGTGTGACTGTAATGTAACTACGCACATCTGCGTGATTACGTCACCTGTGTGATATTGAGGTGAACGATAAGAAGAATAAAGAAGCAATAACATTTCAAACTGTATTCGGAACAAGTTTTGCTGGATTGCTGGCAGACAGTCACGTACAGAATGAGGGAGGGATCAATGGACAATCACATCTAAAGAACGTGTGATTTTTCTCGTTGGAGGCAAAAATAAAACGCCGACTGAGACCGAGCATGGGAGATGATTATCCACAATCCCGCAGTGAGAGAGAAGAACCATTGACTCAGTTGTGATCACGTGACGCTCGGCAAAGCGTATACATATTGCAAGACATCGCTCGTTTATCAAATTATTTATTTCAAAATTTTGCTCGTCTTGCAAAACACTCGCAGACCAAGTTACTCGGAATCCAAGGTTTCAATGTAATGGGGAATGGCTCAGCTACTCTCAAACAGTGCAGCTCTGAATGTTAAAAGATGAGAAACGAGATCAAATGTCACTTCAAACAGCCATGGCAAACATGGCATGCCGCGTGTCCTACCAGTGCTAAAATGACGATTTCTTGCTGGCATTAAAAGATGATTTCCATTATTGACGCTTGCAGGTGGTTATGCCTAATTTTAGTGGTATTTTTTTATGATTATTGCATGTGATTTTAACACAAGTTTATACATTATGAATGTATAAAGTTCATTATCAGCCCGAGTTGAAATGTTGTCGCGTGTTCATTCTTGTCGGGGTTTTTTTTGGTGGAAATTTATCCGACGTCTGCATCGCTCGTGATGGGGATCATTGCAAAGCTTGCTTCAACAATTTTCCTCCACGGCTCTTGCGTGAGATTGTCTTCACATTGCACCCACCACACCACTGGCTCGCTTCCCTTACGTTGTTCACTCTCGCCACAACGGCACCCCTAATTTTTTTTTTATCGCAACACACTCATCAACAATACTGCCTTAAAATAAATCAATATAATCAACCATTTCAGCAATAGCCCTTCTCTTAACACAGAGTGCATAATAGTTGGAGAATGCACGTTACACCATTTTGCCTGCTGAGTACATGTATTTTTTTTTACATTGTATGATGACCAGTTTTTTTTATAGCATATGCATAGTTTACCTAATAGCTACAGATCTGATTGTATACCTGGTGAGGGGTTTGGTCCATCTTGGACAAAAAGTATGTTGTTTTTGTAGTCCACACAGCCACTCTCGCAAGCAACGGCCACCTCCGACACAAACTCATGAGCCCAACTCAGGCAGAGATTTAGTTCCCCCCCCCCCTCAACAGTATTAAATAAACCTCCCAGCGCCAAATAACAGTGACCTGAAATGTGTTGATAAAGACAACGGCTGCTCATCGACAAAACCCGGCGTGTCTCGTTCAAGTTGTAGAAGAACGGACGTCGCGCTAAGGTATCACCAGGCACCAACATTCGGGTTACAAAAGCCACCCTGAGATCCTCGAAGAATCGTGGGGCCCCTCATCCACCCTCTGGCACAACTTCCCAAATTCTCTCTCCCTATTCTCTCTCTCTATTCTCTCTCCCTATTCTCTCTCCCTAGTCTCTCTCCCTATTCTCTCTCCCTAGTCTCTCTCCCTAGTCTCTCTCCCTAGTCTCTCTCCCTATTCTCTCTCCCTATTCTCTTTCCCCATTCTCTCTCCCTAGTCTCTCTCCCTATTCTCTCTCCCTATTCTCTCTCCCTATTCGCCCGATCAGCTTCAGAACACCCGAGTCTGAAACTGAGGAATAGGGAAGGGGCGTTCACCCAGATCTTGGGCCCCCTCGTGAATGCCACTCCAGAGACTCTGAGTTTACTTGACTCAACTTGACAAGAGACGGACCCCCCCCCCCCCACTCAACCTATTTCCCTCTTCCCTCCCCGAAGAGAAGGGATCTAACGCAGCACGTCCCACGTGACGCTACGGTGCTACGCGTCCGCGGTGGTTGTCTGTCCGAGCCACCTGTCCCGCTATGCACCACCCACCCCCCACCCCGCGTGGTTGGATCACTAAAACATAATTTACAACAAAACAAGGACGTCGGGAGTTTTAAGTTCAGAAGTCCCTCCAACCTCAGTTCCACTTTTTTAGTCCGGTCCCAAAGAGGTCTATGAGCCTGGCACGGTGAAGAAAGAGCCAGTTAACTGCTTTTTGAGTTTAGTTTGTAGTCCTACCGCACCACCGATTAGCACGGTTGGCTACGTACGGTGCGAAAAAAGTTCAACACGCATGCACAGGCGGACCCCCCCATGAATCGCCGGATGTCTTCGAGCTCCGAAACTTCAAAGAGACGCTGCAGGGTATCTCACGGGACTCTCTCTCTCGTTGCCGGTTCGCTAGCGGCCAGTTGCGTCGCCTCCGCCAAGTCGAGCGGTCGTAGTTCGATATCCACCTCTGCTGCGTCTCTCAACACGACACAGCGAGGCGGTGAGGTCCCTCTCGGCTGACACGGCACGTGGCGGGTCAGGGGGTCAAGGCTAACTGCCCTGTCACGCTCGGCGGCGTCCCTCGGCAGCTCGCGTCGCACAACGTACACAAAGGGTGGCGATGGTGGTGGTGGTGTCAAAATGTGGCTTTACTGGCTGCCCAGGAAGAGCTTGGGCATCGTGGCAATCGCAGTGGTGAAGATGATCGATCCACCTGTTACCTAGAGAGCGGTGTTCTTCATACATTTTCAGGGCGGCGGGGGTGGGGTGGCACTTTCGCCGACGAGACATCACCAGTGGTGAGGGCCGCCACACATTATTTGAAACCATTGTTGGGTTTGACAGCAGCACGATGATGGGGGAGGGGGGGGGTGTCACGTGTTGTGTATGTCAGGGGGCTGCACATCAGGGGCCGCCAGTGGCCTGCGGGCCTTGCAATGAAGAGCGCCGCTGGAGAAGCAAAGTGGAAACTCTTCCCGAGGTGAAGCGCTGTTTAACATGGAGGCGGCTTTCGCGACCAATATTATCCATGAGGTGTTTTGGGTTAGATCAAATGTCGTTACACCCGCTACAGCCAATTAGTAAGGTTTGTCACGTAAACAGAACATGCCAATTCGTCACTAGGTCAGCACACCTGTGTGTTGGAGAGTAAACCCACAACATTTAAAATTCGAGTACGTTTCACCGTTAATTACAACCAGCCTCATCAGGCGGCAGCCAGAGTTGTGGAGAAATGATCTTCCTGTTTCGTTCTTAAAGTGGGATAAATGTGATGTCACTGATGAGCCAATCAGATGCGAAGACCAGGGGGGGGGGTTGATTAATGGATCAATATAAATTACAATGGATATACATTGTTAGTTAGGTTACTCACAGTTAATCAACATACATAGTATATGTAAACCATGCATGCATATTATGCATGTATATTATGGATGTAAATTCTGCCGTTTTTGGCTGCAAAAATCGCATTAGTTGTTATTGGCCGTTTCGGCACGCTTTGTTGACGTGAAAACCCTTACGAATTGGCCGTGTCGTGTGGTGGCGGGTTAAACGACACATTTATATTTACGCGACCGAAATGGGCGTTTATGCTGTCCTTCCGCTATTCAGTGTCGCTCTCGCTGAACCACTGGGGGGCCATGCCCCTCTTTTTCGGTCCCTGTCTCCCTGCCCCCTAATCAGACCAGTTTATTTCAAGCTCTGTATAAAAGGGGACCACCTGGCCTCGAACTCCTTCTCTTTTCCCTTAAGCTTATGACTCAGGCGCTCCATGCCCGCATGCGCTAGGAGTGTACTACGCCATTGTTGCCATGAAGGGGATTCACGATCCATCCAGTTGTCCAGTATGGCCTCCCTGGCTATGACGATGTTAAAGGTCTGGTGCAGGGCATGTTGATGTATCGTTACCGTGGCAGGTTTCAGACGCAACAGGGGGTCTCTTCTACCGGCGGGGAGAGATCTGTGCCGCGCGAGTCATGAACAAAGCTCGTGATCGTATTGTAAAGTTTCGCAACGTCTGGGCAGAGCCAGAAGGCGGAGGGGATATGTTTGTACCCGGGGGGATGGCAAAAACAGTATTAAAGCATCTTGCACAAACACCCCACATTTGAAACGAATACACACTTCACCGACATTCCGCATAGCAAATACACCAACATACTGTATTATAATAAGGGTTTAATGAAATATTCAGTCAATTAACTCTCAAAACATTTAAATATTGCAAATATTCCAAGGCTGCATACACTTGAAGCACACTTTGAGAACGGTATCAAAGGACAATTACTTCTAAACGGCATTGTGTACAGAGAATATGCAAATGCATGTAAAACAATATTTAGAAAGTTAAGATTTTCGATGTATTAAGGTCACTGCAATGCATGAGATGTGCAAGAGCTGATGGGATGTGAACCTTGTACGTTGAACGTCCTTTGCACCTTACCGTAGCCAACCGTGCCAATCAGAGGTGCGGGCGAAGGACAACAAACTAAACACATTGCGTACATTGCGGAAGAGAACGGTTATGCTGGGCCAGGGTGTGTTAAGAGAAAAATGAAATGGCATTATGGGAGGAAACAGGTGATGCATTTTTTTTTATCTGACAGAAATAAATTGCATTCCAAGTATAGAAAATTTTAAACTTGAGCAAAACTCATGTTTGGGTTGTCCAAGATATCATTTTTTACACATTTACCTGCGAAACCGCGAATAGGATCATGTAAATTCAGCCAATTGACTGGTGCTTTAAACTTAATTTTGTATAATTAAGTAAATATTAATTACTTTTCCTCCACGCGAAGGTAATGTTTTCCCAGAACGTGCTTCCTTTATCAGTAACTGTACAACTTCTACTGTTCCAGCAATGAAACAGAGGTTGCATTACTGGTCAAAAAAGCTTCGTTTGGACCGAACTTTGCGCAGTGGTCTAACGATACAAAAAATAAGATATTGCAGAAAATAAGCCTGGAATGAACTTAAGACACAAATGAACACAAGCAACGTATCCAATATGCGTGTGACACTTTCAGTTGTATGACAGAGCCAAGTAACACGTGTGTGTGCCCGGTTGTAACGTTTACATTTCTGAGTAAAATGTTGGCTGTACCCATAGCCGTCCCTAGGGTAGGGCGAATCGGGGTGACTGCCCCGAGCTCCATGCTTCGTGAGGGCCTCGCGCTTTGACGTCACGGTATAAGATTGAATAATTCCGGTCTTTGGGGGGCCCGCACGGTGTGATTTGCCCCAGGCACTGCACCCCCATTATGGATGGCCCTGGCTGTAGCTGCGGTAACATAGGGCTCTGACATGCCAAACCGATGACATCTCTCTTCTTTGGTTCTTTCGGTAAAGTCACGTAGAATGAGAATAAAATAATAAAATAAAATAAGACAATGAAATTCTCACGACGTTTCGGCCACAACACAAGTAGTCTTCTTCAGGTGAAAGAACAGAATTGTCAGCTTGAAGCTCTGTCGTCCCGACAGTTCTGTTCTTTCACCTGAAGAAGGCTACTTGTGTTGTGGCCGAAACGTCGTGATAATTTTATTGTCTTATTTTATTATTTTATTCTCATTCTACGTGAGTTTACCGAAAGAACCAAAGAAGATGAATCCTTGCAGTCACGAAAGCTTTAAATCGAAACGATGACATCCCGTTTCTGAAATATTGCACTCGATGACAATTCAAATGAAGCCTGCAAAGCACGTCACCAACTTAATACATTCCATTAAAATAAATTAAACCACAAAGCATAACAGTTTAGTTATTGCTTATGTGTACGTATGAAAGGTGTTAACAGACAATAAGAAAAGTGAAACATACGTTAAGGTTATCAATAAGCAGTGTGCCTTTGGACATTCTTTCTGTGCTAACGAGAAAGTGAAAATGCAAGTGAAGTGCCACCTCGGTTCATTTGGTTTTATTCTGTTAGCACACGATTAAAATGTTGATGCCAACCTGAACGTGAAAAATGTTACTTGTTTGTTGACAGGCTGTTTCAATAAGTCGGTAAGATGTGATGTTGTGGCTTGCGTTTTTGCATCTTTCTTTTTTTTGATCCATTCACACGTTTATCTGCACTTTTATTTGGTTGATTTTCTTCACAAGATCTACGATTAACCTGTTCCTGCGCACATTACAGACAAGAACACTCGATTAATAAAAAAAGGCACAAGATATATTTATCATGCAAAACTAGGAGCGATATTCGCAGGGATGTTTCGTCTACTCCGTATATGGCAATGGTAAACCGTGAAAGAAATATGCATGTTATCCTGTTACATAATGGCAAAAGCAGTTTTAACGGTGAATTAGATAATGCTCAATAACCTATACAACCAGGAGAAACTCCCATTATATGCATTGAATTGCTATTGGCACGCAATGCCAATCATAGATGAGAGAAGTTATCACCAAATTATCAATGCAGTTTGCTGTTTAAAGCAATTAAAATAATAATAAGTTAATATTGTATTCACAACATTACAACAGCACAAGGCTACGACGCAGACGCTGTTTCCCAAACACATATGCCATAGCACCACAGTAGGCAACGATGTTACTATGCGTTTCCCTATTAACTCGCTTGTGGGCAACCTTTAAAATGTTTGCTAAATGATGCTGGCACATGTGCACTACCTCTTGAGTAACATCACGGGATCCTCAACATCGACTCTGAATCAGACGGCGCGTATTTAAGGTAAATACAACCTGCAGCATTTAAATTAAATTGTACGAGAGAAAAAGCATCTGCAGTATTAACCATGGCAGCTGTAGGACCTCGAACGGCTCACCTCGACAATGAGCGGAAAATGCACAATGGCTTGGCCATGCGACCATTTAATGTTTACGTGATTTTTTTTTTTTACAAGTGGTTTTATATAAAATTCTGTTACCATTAAAAGTGTTATCGTGTTACATCTTTTCTTTACAATTATTTTGTATGTTTAAGACGTAGGGCTTTCACAACCAATATCATCGCGGAAATATTTACGTGAAAAAAAACCCCTGTATTATGGATTATTTCGTATGTCTGCCATTTTTATATTTCTGATTATTTCTGATATTTTTTGTCATCTGCAAGATCAGTTTGAAAAAATATAATTTAATTATATAAAATAAAAATTATCAATGGTATTTTTAACTGCACTGCAAAACAGAATGCCACTTAAAAAGCTTTGTATGCGTGGTTTCAGTTAAGTTATTTGAAAAGTGTTACGCAAGGCTTTGGGTAAGCAATTAATGCTTACGGTGTGATGCACGGCACAAAGGAGGATACCGTACATGATGTAGCAAGTCAAAGTATATGTGTGTATGTGGTGTGCGTGTCCCCGGCTGGTCCTACTCACTCTTTTTCAAGGAGGCGATGCACACAGCTGATCTGTTTGGGAGTCATCACGTTTTGCGCCTGCATCTCCATATTCGGACGGACGATGAGCTTCTTCTGCTGATAGTTACGCTTATTCAGCACCTACAGCGCGTACCCGCAAACACAACCACGCAAAACACAAGTGCCGTCGAACAGGCAATATGTGATGAATGGGGAAAAATAAGCAGCAGGGTAATAATTATTTCACTCATTTCGGAGCCCGTCGGTCGAGGTTTGATGGTTGAAATCGCGAATTTGTACTCTTCAGGGGATTACCAAATATGCGGGTCTACGAGAAAGGGAATTATCAAGAGCTTCCGATTGTTAGCAGTGCTATTCCCAATAGCGCAGGCTAACAGCAATTCCAATTAAATGTATAAATAATGTAGAATATTTTTTCACAAAACCCTGTAACCAAATGTATAATGGTATTACGCCTAACACAGAACACATTCTATTTTATTGTGTCAGAGGTTTTTGGATTATGCAAAGGAATACGTTTTTCAGTAATATGAGGTAAGGACAATGACCATAAAAAAATAACAACACAAATATGTCCAAGCGTTAAAACACTAAGAGGAGCAATATACACCAGACAGCGCTGGCTCAAGTGATGCGAATCCTAAAGGCACTAAGGTTCCCCGTCTGTTAATTACAAAACATTTAAAAAGTGACGACTACTGACTGGACAACACGCGGACAAGTGCTCCAAAGTGAAAAAGGATTGTATACTAATTACAATTTTAACATTGTGGACTCAGCGAGGTTGTGTACGCTAAATTGAAAACATGTTAACATCAAGATACATTTGTAGACAGGAAAAAAAACATGCCAAATGTTGAAGTTTTAGATCTAGATTAGAACTGCTTTTTGAGTTTAGTTTATCTTTGCCCCCGCACCTCCGATTAGCAAGGTTGGCTACGTACGGCGCGACAGAAGAAGTCCGACACGCATGTACACATGTTGTGCTGATTGATTATACTGTCATTTTACATTATTCTACATTATTGGTGTACGTCCCCAGATCCGCTGTGTGTGACATGCGGTACCACTGCACGCATCAAGCCGGTGTGCGCAGCGTGGCGATCACGTGGCTGCCTTCCATCCAGACGTTCGTCGGCAGTCGCGAATCGTGTGCACAGTGGTGCACAAACATACAAACGGGGACCGTCCATAAATGACGTCGCGCGATTTTGGACGATTTTTGACCACCCCCACCCCCCCCCCCCTCATCACACGGCGTCACAAAAAGTCAGACCCCCCTCAAATATGACATCACAAAGCTCTGCCGCCCCCACCCCCCCCCAAAAAAAACCACATTTCCATTTAGAAAATAAAACATGCTTCAAATCGCTTTAAACTATTGTCATTGTAGTGCGTATTTAATGTGGCGCTGCACTCTGATGTTGTAGGAGAAAACATTTATTAAAAAATCTTTGATTAAGTAGAACGTGTTGTCTATATTTATTTAAAGTTGTGTGACGTCATTCCTGGACGGCCCCCCCACAGGCGTACTGTCACAATGAAGAGGCATGTGCTTAATCAGTGACCTGTTCGATAGATCGCTGGAGCTCCTCCACCTGATCGGTGATTGTTTGGATCTCGCTGCGAGCGTGTCGCTCTCTGTCCGAGAGGACGGGCAGACACGCGTGCGCTCCCCGCAGGACGCGATGCACTCTGAACACAAACGAAACCCACAGGGACATTTAAAAAAAAATGCGTGCCGAAAATCTATCGCAAACACAAGACAACGGTGAATATAAACTATTAAACATGTTTTTGAAATTTTACAATGTAAGGCCCACACTGAGCTAGAAAGCTCTTTTTCAGACGACCTGGCTACAGTGAGGGAAAAAAGTATTTTATCCCCTGCTGATATTGTACGTTTGCCCACTGACAAAGAAATGATCAGTCTATAATTTTAATGGTAGGTTTATTTGAACAGTGAGAGACAGAATAACAACAAAAAAAATCCAGAAAAACGCATGTCAAAAATGTTATAAATTGATTTGCATTTTAATGAGGGAAACAAGTATTTGACCCCTTCTCAATCAGAAAGATTTCTGGCTCCCAGGTGTCTTTTATACAGGTAACGAGCTTGTTACCTGTATAAAAGACACCTGTCCACAGAAGCAATCAATCAATCAGATTCCAAACTCTCCACCATGGCCAAGACCAAAGAGCTCTCCAAGGATGTCAGGGACACGATTGTAGACCTACACAAGGCTGGAATGGGCTACAAGACCATTGCCAAGCAGCTTGGTGAGAAGGTGACACCAGTTGGTGCGATTATTCGCAAATGGAAGAAATACAAAAGAACTGTCAATCTCCCTCGGCCTAGGGCTCCATGCAAGATCTCACCTCGTGGAGTTGCAATGATCATGATAACGGTGAGGAATCAGCCCAGAACTACACGGGAGGATCTTGTCAATGATCTCAAGGCAGCTGGGACCATAGTCACCAAGAAAACAATTGGTAACACACTACGCCATGAAGGACTGAAATCCTGCAGTGCCCGCAAGGTCCCCCTGCTCAAGAAAGCACATATACATGCCCGTCTGAAGTTTGCCAATGAACATCTGAATGATTCAGAGGACAACTGGGTGAAAGTGTTGTGGTCAGATGAGACCAAAATGGAGCTCTTTGGCATCAACTCAACTCGCCGTGTTTGGGGGAGGAATACTCCCTATGACCCCAAGAACACCATCCCCACCGTCAAACATGGAGGTGGAAACATTATGTTTTGGGGGTGTTTTTTCTGCTAAGGGGACAGGACAACTTCACCGCATCAAAGGGACGATGGACGGGGCCATGTACCGTCAAATCTTGGGTTAGAACCTGCTTCCCTCAGCCAGGACATTGAAAATGGGTCGTGGATGGGTATTCCAGCATGACAATGACCCAAAACACACGGCCAAGGCAACAAAGGAGTGGCTCAAGAAGAAGCACATTAAGGTCCTGGAGTGGCCTAGCCAGTCTCCAGACCTTAATCCCATAGAAAATCTGTGGAGGGAGCTGAAGGTTCGAGTTGCCAAACGTCAGCCTCGAAACCTTAATGACTTGGAGAAGATCTGCAAAGAGGAGTGGGACAAAATCCCTCCTGAGATGTGTGCAAACCTGGTGGCCAACTACAAGAAACGTGTGACCTCTGTGATTGCCAACAAGGGTTTTGCCACCAAGTACTAAGTCATGTTTTGCAGAAGGGTCAAATACTTATTTCCCTCATTAAAATGCAAATCAATTTATAACATTTTTGACATGCGTTTTTCTGGATTTTGTTGTTGTTATTCTGTCTCTCACTGTTCAAATAAACCTACCATTAAAATTATAGACTGATCATTTCTTTGTCAGTGGGCAAACGTACAAAATCAGCAGGGGATCAAATACTTTTTTCCCTCACTGTATGACAAATGATAGATTTTTTTAAAAAGTGGCTTATCACGTGGAAATTTATAGCAGCAAAATACTCTAAAACACCCACGTTGATTCTAAATGTGGAGGAGGGAAAACCAGAGGACCTGGAGAAAAATCCAAGGGACCACAGGGAGAACATGCAAACTCCAAATATACAGCAGGCGTCGGGGTCAGAATCGAACCCACGACCTCCTGTATACCAGGTGAGGCAGTTATGCACGAAAGAACATTTTTATATGGATCATACTACACTGTGTTTACACAGATAATTCAATACCACAACTCAACATGTGTAGTGGGTTCAATTGAGGTGCACACTCAACTTGGAGGCAACACAATTTATAAACGCATAACAACCAACATGAACATTATATACAGGGTGGTGACCACCGTTCCTAATCTCACTAACACTCGGGGAACACTACACAGCGTGACCAAGGCAGGTGACGGGCTGCCTGGTCACGAACGACGATCGGAGACTCGAGGACCGCTGATGGCGTCTTCGTCCCGGGGTTGAACAGCCCCGCTCTCGGTTCACACCCCGCTTATAACTCCCGTGGCGTGGCCGGCTCTACCCCAGGCCACGCCCCCCTTCTCGATCCTTCGGGAAGGTACGGGCCCCCCAACCACGTGACCTCCAAGATCCCCCCTGGGGCCCCTAGCCCCCCTTTGTCCGGTCACGTGTCCTGTTGGGTTCACGCAGTGTGTCACGGCCTGACACGACCCCCGTGACACACGCCTACAGCACCCATATCGAGCCAACACAGTAGTGACGTCATACGTCCGTACGCTCGTACAGTCCCAACACAGTATTGACCTCGTATGTTACTACACATGTTATACCATGTAATAAACAGCTTGTAGGTCATTTAAACAAAAATTCACGAAATTACACACATATTTGATTATACCATATTCAGTATGTTTAAAATGAGAATAAAATGTTGTACTATGCACCACATGTTGCGTCACACCACCACGCATGCACTTGAGCGTACAAGTTTCAAGTTCATATTGTTTAACCAGGTGAGAGAATGCAAGAGGTCAGGATAGAGTCTCAATTGCAAGAGCGACCTGGAGCATTAGTTTGCCAGTAGGGGTAATAATCAATTGCTGTGTATAATCCCAAATGTGTAATTTCCAAGTAATTCCGAATTTGGCAAATTTACACCCCGATGCTCTTCCGAATGTCAGGTGATCCTTTAACGTCCGCTTTGAAGCAAATGTTTTATATGCATTATGGCGCACAGTTATTACGGTCATTACAGACCCACGGTATTAACGAGGGCGGCCACTGGATTCGAACCGCGAACCTCCGCAACGAGCGGCAAACACGTTGCCGCTGGACAAAGTTACCCACCTCTCCACCAGAGCCTCTTGCCTCTCTCGTGCATCCTCAGACTTGTCCACGAGACATTCAGCCGTTTTCCGTAGCTCTTGCCTGTAAACATCAACCTACATTGTAATCTTACTTAATTACAACTCAATTCTACGCGGGTCTGTACACGCACGAGTGCATTAGTTCACGTGTATGTGACCGAATGTCGTAAGAGTCTATTGTAATCTTACTTAATTACAACTCAATTCTACGCGGGTCTGTACACGCACGAGTGCATTAGTTCACGTGTATGTGACCGAATGTCGTAAAAGTCTATTGTAATCTTACTTAATTACAACTCAATTCTACGCGGGTCTGTACATGCACGAGTGCATTAGTTCACGTGTATGTGACCGAATGTCGTAAAAGTCTATTGTAATCTTACTTAATTACAACTCAATTCTACGCGGGTCTGTACATGCACGAGTGCATTAGTTCACGTGTATGTGACCGAATGTCGTAAAAGTCTATTGTAATCTTACTTAATTACAACTCAATTCTACGCGGGTCTGTACATGCACGAGTGCATTAGTTCACGTGTATGTGACCGAATGTTGTAAAAGTCTATTGTAATCTTACTTAATTACAACTCAATTCTATGCTGGTATGTACATGCACAAGTGCATTAGTTCGCGTGTGTGTGACCGAATGTCGTAAAAGTCTGTCTCTTAAGACTGCAGTGAAGATTAAGGATACACTCAGGAGAGCCAAACATTTGAAGAATAATGCTTCGTACAATTACATACCTTTGAAACAGTATGAAGGCTAAATACATCTATGTTGTCAAAAGTCTGAATTTCACAATACATTGCCAGACTGACATTGAAACCGCTGGACAGTTCTGCCCATGCTTTCTGCGAGTCCTTAAATGGCTATGCTTGTTTTAATTAGTTTAACATGTAGGCTTTTGTGACAAATATTATGCACAAGAGGTATTTTGGGTTAGATCGCGTGAATATAAATGTGTCGTTAAACCTGCCACCACCCAACACAGCCAATTAGAACGGTTTGTCACGAACAAAACATGCCAGCACACCGGTGTGTTGGAGAGTAAACCCACATTTCCAATTCGGGTACGACGTTTTTGCCGGTCATTACAACCTTCCTCGTCAGGTGACAGGCTGTCGCCTGATGAGGCTGGCAGTGGCGGGTTAAACGAAACATTTATATCTACGCGATCTAACCCCAAAAAAACCTCTCATGGATTGTTTGAATAATTCAAAGGGTGAACAATTCTCTAGTCTACTTCTCCAGGAAAGCATGTCTCTGCATCACTGAGACCAAAAAAGGACATCAATTATATAGAAATAGGATTAAGGGGTATCACTATACAGTAAATATATCACACACACACACACAATGTAAGGAAATTAATGCGTACGCTTGGTGAGAAATCTGTTTCAGATCTTCCATCTGTTTTTCTTTCTGCTGCTTCATTCCCCGTACTCTGAAATGCAAACATTGGATCAAAAGCGGGCACATGCAGACAAGCACACACACCCACCCATAGATTGTAAACGAATTTATTTAGATTGAAAACTCATTTCTTTAGAACTGTTTTTTATGTTTAGTTTATTGTCCTTCCCCCGCACCTCCAATTAGCACGGTTGGCTACGTACGGTGCGAAAGAAGCTGAACATACATACATATTCACACCTACAAGGTGGTAAAAGGGACCTTGAATAATATATACACTTCAAAAGGAAGCCAAATTTGTACTGTGGGGTGCAGTGGTTTGTGAACTAGACTGTGAACTCCAGTGACCTGAGTTATGATTCCTGGTCGCTGTTCACATCGATGGCAAGTGGTATCTGAACCAGTGATGCTCCCCCCCCCACCAAATTTTTTTAAGGTTGAAACTTGCTTTACACGCATCGAAGGACAAAGACTCAACCAGAAAATAATTTTAGTCAAACCAGTCATATATAACATAAGTAACCTTATCCCTTTTATGGTAAATTGTCAACATTGATGCAAACAACGAGTCTGCTCATGGGAAAATGTATGTTAAAACTAGTCCAGGAGTTTGCATGCCTTGAATCGTCGCTGCTAAATTTATGCACTCCCACAAGGCCATATTGCTGATGGGTTGTGTAAGAAATGTTTTATTTTTTTCGCAGAGAGACAGATACGCGAAGGAGACATAGTCTGCATCTTTATTTTGTTATTCATTTTCTCCGCAACGTCGCAAATGACTTCAATCCTTTCGTGAATCGCTGTGAGCTCGCAACAAACGCCACGCGTAAGAAAACAGAGGGCAGCATTTAACACTCGCCTGCGCAAGATTGCATCGCGCGCCAAGTCCAGTTTCAGAATGTTCTCTTCCCGAAACACCTGCACTGCACGCGTGACGAGCTGTAGACACTCGCACTGCGATAGCTGTGCCTGGGAGCCACACCTGGGAAAAGACGCGCACAACGTCCACAAAAGCCAATCCGTAAGTGGAGCACTAATACAGTCAACATTATACCCTTGTTTCAGTCACTTACGACCATTCGTTATTTTAGTTTAATTAATACGCAGACCGGAGTGTTACTAATTTGTAGGTTTTCACTTTTGTGCCAGACAGTTCTCTCGATGTGTTTTCAGATTGTACCGCGTGTTGTTTGGCATGATGTCTGATGTTTTGTTCCATGTGCTGGAAGCTTTTTTAGGACTGAATTTAAGTGCCTGTAGAGCTCCTGAACATAGAGCAAAACATCACACTCAAGATCACATCGACAAGCTCAACATGGGTTATGTCCCACAACTTAACAAAAACGTAAAACATTTTGCCCATAAACCTTTGCACCTGCAGAATATTTCATGCAGCCATTTGTTTAAACAGCAAACCCTGACCACTTTTGATTTTATGAGTCTCAATGGCAGTGTGACCTGTTCAATAAATTCTGTTGAGTTGCCTGGTGTTATTTGCAACAGCCCTCCATGAACAAACATTGAGGCTGATATGACTAAAATGTTAGTTTAAACTTACGTGGTGGGACAGACATTTGTCTATTATTTCATGCAATCCAGTACAAAGAAAAGTTTACCCTGTATATGTACCCTTTAAAAGACTGGGAGGGCAGGTGCTGTTAGCGAGCACCTATGAAGGCCGGCATGGCACACAGGAGGGTGGGTGGCCCGCACCACGCCCAGCAGCCTTTGTCTGCTCAGTGCTGACGTTTACACGCCGCACCAGGTATTCATTTGAGGCCAAGTCGACCTAGGGGAGTCCCAGCACCAGTTCAGGTATTCGTCACTCGTGTTGGTCATGAACGGGAATCGAACTCAGGTCGCCGGGCTCATAGCGCAGTGCGCTAAACGTTACACACACGAACACGTCACACCTAAGTATGGGATTTCTCGTGTCTCGCTGTAGAATGCTATGGATGCGCTGCTCCAGCGATTCCTCCCGAAACGAATGCGACGCCACCCTCACGCTCGAGCCCTCTGCCTCGTCACCATTATGACTCGTGGACGCTTGATCAATGAGCAGTGCAGAGGGCTGCCAGGTGAACATACTGCACACCACAGAACACAGCAAAAACATTGCACTCTTTAAAGACAACAATGGGAAAACAAAGAAGCCAACGCCTGCACAATAGAACTACCGTAATCCATTCCCTGCTATGAATCATGAAATTAAGAGTGCGAAGTAGATTGGCCACGACTGCAAAGCTCAGTTTTGTGGCAGTCCTCCGCTGTGCGTACAAACACTGGGCTGTAGAGACCACGTGATTTGCAAGAGGGTCACAGCTTGCAGGTGGGACATGGTTTGCGTCAATCCTCAAGCTCCGTGGCAGCCTCACCTGCCATTTTGCAATGGACCTCCAAAAACACACCCATGTTATAAGCAACTCAAAACACTCGGCAATCACACCGTGGCCTTAAATATATTGTATGTATGTTGAACTTATTTCGTATCGTACGTAGATAACAGTGCTATTCGGAGGTGCGAATGCAGCTAAAACCCATGTGAATGCAGCTGAACCCCTATTATCAGTCATCCTTTTAGCCATAAATGTTGTCTGTTGCTAACAGCATAGCAGAAATGTAATGATTATTCAATTAATTTAGTCATATACATTCTTGCACTCACGATAAATTAACCGAATCGTGTACACGTTTGTATGTATGTAGAACTTCTTTCGCACCATACGTAGCCAACTGTGCTAATTGGAGGTACGGAGGAAGGACAATCAACACAATAAGCAGTTCTAAAGGAGTGAATGTTTTTGTGCAGACATGTGATGTTTGAGATTTTCCGTATTTATGAACACTACATAGTTCAGCTGAGTGGTGGTGGTGGCGCACGCCTGTAATCCACTACTGTGGAGGCAAGGGTTGGTGGATCACAGCATAGCCAAAAATTCCCTTTCCGTGGGAACCAAGGTGTCATACCCTGGAAGAAGTCAGTACAGCAAACTGCAGCCTGATTTCCTTTCTTCCATCTACAGAGGATACAGTGTTGCCCCCTCGCACACGTAGATTTTTCTCTAGGTGCTGTGGTTTCTTCTCACATGCATAAACACTCATTGTTTGAAACACCTTAATATATAGAGGACTGCAGAACTTGGATATTTGCCGACGCCAGCTTGTCACCTGGCTGCTACCATCCAGCATATCTGTGCTTCCTCAGAGATTGTGAAATGCAATTTCCATGAACAATTATATATTTAAAAATACTAAGCATCCTCATTAGTACACATGACTCATAAACTTGTTGGGCTTACAGCAGCGGTCTTGTGACGACTTCGTAATTGGAAGTAAGGCAAAGGATGACTGCTCCCATAGATAAGTCACGTACAATGCACACTCCTTGAACTGCAGGGCCATGCCTTCACATGAGAGCAGATACACATCAGACATTCCGACAGCACACATGCAGGTTATAATGCATTGAAATTATTTGAGCATATTTCTTGTAATTTATACACATTTCTCCAAAGGTGACGATTCAGAAAATATATTTTAAGAGGATTAGTGTGACACTTAAATAAGTGTGGTATTGAATAGGTATGGTATTTATTTCATTAATTAAAGGTGTATGAAATCACCCTGGCCTGAACAAATGAGATACTGCACAGACAAAGCAAAAAAAGATGGTCCTTGTATTAAATCATGACACCTGACCCCAACAATGAATTGAAATGGGTGCCTCCCATTAAATAAGATGTCAAGGGACCAGGCAGACTGACCTAGGGCCTCTAATTAAGACCCCTTAACCTTACTATCAATGTAAAGTATTGGGCAAGGGCCACGGTCGAGACAACTAAATAATCAGGGAGTGGAGGGAAGTCATTTGATTGATATTACTGATGCAAATTAATTGTGAGAATGTACACAACACCGCAAAACGTGGATGACGACTGCGCTAACTATATTTGCATTGTATTGTTTGTATTAAAAATATGTAGGCAGTTATGTTGCTAGGAACACTGAAGACAAAGTACATACATGTTTGCCGATGGCCGGGTGCACAGCACATGCTCAACTACAGAGGGGTGATCGTCCGCCAGCGTCGTGAGCTCATCCTCGGATTTCTCCTCGCCCGCTGCTCAGCACGCGAAGAAACATACAACACAAATCAACCCCACTTCTCAGCACACCCAAAAAACGTGCAACACAAATCGCCGCATTGCAGGTCCACACCACGAACACACTTAACAGCCAGGGGGGACCACTGCACGGTACCGTATACACATACACAGATACTATGCACACGGTTAAATTCACCACCGTATGCGTCAACGCGCAACACAGACATGTGTTATCCACCGGCAACCGCACAGCGGTAAAGTAGCGCACGCACTCAGCACCAAGGTCACCTGCAATAATTCAATCATCTAACTCCAGACTCAATTTGGTATTGAGAGTTACGTCTACCACCCGCTGTGTACAAGCTATAACCTGTTGCAATACTTATGTCATACTGATGACAATACATGTAAGACGACTCAGGTTCCCTTAATTCGACAAAAGGGCAACTTCATTCCCGACACATTATCTGTTAAACATCTGGCACCTTCCATGCTGTTCGGAATACACTCGAACCCACTTAAACAATACATGGTAAATATAGCCCTCTCATCATGGGACCTCCTTTGCCAGTAACAAAATATGACAATAGGTTTTTCCCCTTTTTTCGTACGCCTTTTGGCATCCTCTGATCTAACACCGTTTGAGACGAGGCTCAAAAGAAAGCTGTCTCTGGTGTGGACCAATCAGTTTCAAGGACAATGCATCATATTATCAGAGTATGTTTTTTGTTTGCATTCTGACCACAAGCATTGTGGTTAATGCAGACATGATTCACTGTAAAAGGTTTGAGTTTGGTGTTTTAACATCTTAACACCTGTTTTGTTGCTACAAAAATGCATCATGTTAACATCAACACATCAGGCGATATTGTGTAGCACAGTGTTCTAATGCAGCATCTCATACAGATTAATATCAAACATAAAAGGGAAGAAAATAACTAAAACAATACAATGGGATCCAGAGAAAAATGTCTCTTGCCATAAACATAAGGAGCTTCCACCACTGACTCCACGTCACCAACACTCCGCCTACACTTGACTAGGACGACTTTTGATATTTTTTTTCGAAATATCGTAGGGTAGTTGTTGATGGCATGTAGGCATTATATTACATGGGTATCATACACTCATTGGTGGCTTCATTATGAGTAGAGGTTGCTTGGCAACACGTATCAAGTGGTAATGTAATGTTATTGGCTACTTTAAGATGTGTGGAAACTGCCTTAGTTAAAATAAATTGTTAACATTTTCAGAATAAGTCACACTCAGACACACCCACCAACATCATCTTCATTATAAATGTTTAAAACAACAAAAAAAATTAATTCGATGTTTTAATATATTTTATTATATTCTATTCACATGTATTATGTGACTTTTTTTATGTGATACCAAGTGGGGGAAAAACCATGTAGAATCAGTTAAAAAAAAAGCCGGAGGCGGTGATCTTTTCGGGCCCAGGAATGCAACCGTATTTTCCCATAAGGTATATTATTTGTTGAAACGCGGTTTTGCCCAATATGGTATTTTCCAAGAATGTAACCCCCGCGTTAGGCGAGGTATCGCTGGACCGACACACCCCTTGCGGACTTCATCCGAGATGCAATAAACTCTTAGAGAATCTAGAAAAATCTAGACGAGGTTTTAAAATGTTTATTCAATGTGAGACTGCGAAGTTTCGGATCAAGCGGAGGCATCACCAGCGGTGTGGGGGCCCAGATGCCACCTGACATTGAATGAGCATCACTCGAGCACCATATATGCAAGTGCTGGCAAAATCCTCCCTTCTCTGCATTCAGGCTGCCACCTAACTTCAACGGCCAGACTTGCTCAATATTGTTACTTCTATCCCTTTGTTTCATTCACCTGTGCCACTCAAACGAGTCGGTTATCGCCACCTAGCGGAAATTTCTGGCTATGCATTCGGTATCACTGCTCGTCTGAACTGGGACCGCAAGCCGAAAAACTTATTTAGCTTGAACCTTTTTTTGAGACTGGTCTATGAGATGACTAAGACTATTGTGAAAAATTATTCACTTTTATGAGAGGCAAATGTAACATACATTATAGATCAGCATTAACATGTCTAGTATACATGTACAGGCAGCAAGCACACTGTAATTGTGTAGGAATCAAAATATATGCTGGAAAATAATTCAAATATACACTTGCAAAGCACATTTCATCCATAGATCCCAATGCGTCCCGTATGAAACGCAGGAAATAAACAGAACCAGCTGGGCAAACGGCCAGAACTACAACTAAAGGCCAGTTTAAAGAGGTGTGTTTTTAAGACAGGACTTAAATATAACCAACGATTCCGATTGTCTTATTAGCAAAGGCAAAGTGTTCCAAAGCTTGGGAGCTGCACTGGAAAAAGGTGCGTAGGTGAGCGAGTGAGGTTCGTGCACCACTGTGCATGCGACTCACGACTGCCGACGAACGTCTGGATGGAAGGCAGCCACGTGATGGCTATGCTGTGCACACCGGCTTCATGCGTGCAGTGGTACCGCATGTCACACAGCGGGTCTGGGGACACAAACAATAATGTAAAATAATGGAAAATGACAGTATAATCAATCAGTACAACATATGTACATTCGTCAAACTTCCTTCACACCGTGCGTAGCCAACCATGCTAATTGGAGGTGCGGGGAAAGGACAATAAGCTAAACACCAAAAGCAGCTAAAACAGGGTTAAACTTTGTGAATAGTGTCAAAACTCCATTCGCATTCAACACAGCTTCTTTGGCATACGATACAAATTTTAATCATTTCCATGTGGTGATGACTTGCCAAAATCTGTTTAGAACAAAAAAATCAATTGAGTTTGTAATGATCAACACAAGGGCAAGTGACTAGTTTTTATGTTAACTTTAACACCATTAAATAAATATATTTGTTGTCAATAAATATAAAAAGACACCAAAAATTTAAATTTAAAAAACCTGTAAATATATATTAACAAATGTGTTAGAATTCTAAAATAATGAAAAATGACAGTATAATCAATTCACACAACATATGGTCAAAATGCGGTTAAACTTTGTGGAGAGCATCAGAACTTCAGATAAGAATTATAAACACAAATCACCTAACATCACCTGTCTCGTCAAAGCAATAGCTATTTTAAAACACATTATATATAGTGGCGCTGCGTTGGCAGTGGTTTACAAGCACAAATAACAACAAACACAACACAAGCTTTGAAGAAGAGTCACTGCCCAAAATGTCACCTATTAAATATTTGTTCATGAAAAGGCCAGTATTTTATATATATACACGCATGTACGTTGAACTTCTTTTGCACCGTACGTACCCAACGGTGCGAATCGGAGGAATACTTAAGCTTTTTTTGTTATTTTACAAGGCATGTAGGGGCGTACGGGCCACGCACGAAAGCTCACCTCGACTAAGCCTGATGGGGCACGTGAAGTCTGCCAACGTCTGCTCCTCCAACTCACTGCTCGAAGGTAGATTCAGGGACAGCTCCAGCTCCACGGCGTCAAACACAAACAGCGTGTACGGGAGGCCGTCCTCCGTCTGCGCGGGAGTGCGTGCACAAGTCAACGTTTCAAACAACGCCACCATTATCATCACAACTACTTCTCTAAAAAACTAAATAATTAACGTGTTCTATAAACCATCCCAACAATAAATGTTATCATAAAAAAGGCAATTTTAGGCACAATCCAATGCAATAATTTCATGTAAAGCCCTGCCTCCAAATACTGTGTGGGTCGTAGGGGTTATTTGATCCTTCTGGCGGTACCCCGGGGTACCAAAAAATACTAAATGGCCTAGGCAATTCAATATTTTATTTCTGGGACACTATTCTTTCCAGGGGTGTACTTATAACTCCGCGACTGGGGTACCAATCAATCCGAAATCAGTGCCACACTCCGCGATGTTGAAACACAGCGAGGATGATTGCGCCGAAACCCTGAACGCTCGTACGCACCGTAGTGGTGCACCGTGTACAGCTCGTCGAGACGAGTCGATTGCCGCATCACCGACCATCGACAGACTAAAAATGACTGCATCACGGACATTATGCGAGAGCCGGGGAACTGTAGTACTCCGGGGTACCACCATAAAGTTAATTTGACCAAACTTGACAGCGCCGGTCAGTGCAGGTTAGTGAAGACAGGGAGCAAAAAACGTAGTACATTAAAATGTAATTCGCTGCGCACTTTCCATCGGCTACCGAAAACATAGCCCCACTCTCCCGCAGGCAGCGGAAAACACACGTTTTATGCACGCTGCTTCGCCACATCCAAACACTTCTTTGGACGTCTGATATCTCACGAGATGGGACACGCACAGGGCGAACTGGTCACACTCATCGCTTCAAGCAACCGCCTGAAATGCCACACACCAAACACCCACGTGCCTGAGCCTCTTCGAGCAGCAGGCAGTGGTACACGGTCCCCGTCTCGGTGGCGATGACGAGCACGGAAGGGGAGTTGCGTAAACACAACAGCGAGCACGCTCCGTATCCGTAGTTGTCTTCTGCCGCGGGGTGCATCGGCAGGGGCCCCAAAACTCGATCGCCCGTCCGGGACTTGCCACTGGGGAGGAAAAAACAAAGGTTGCGTTAACCCTTTTCCCATTCCGAGACATCTGCATGTTGCAGGGTTGCGGGTGTCCCGTTCACCGCTGAATCTCAGAAACGCACAAGCGGTTCGCGTCAATTTTATTTAAAGAGGCATAGTGCCGTTTTTTTTTTTATAAAGACGTTGTACTCACTGCAGGGAACTGTAGTGTCACTACCGCACTCTACGATAGCTCGCACCAAACTGTGGCACACGCCCTCCCGCATGGCCTTTTGGAAGCATCAATACCGGTAAAGTAATTTTGTTTTTGTTCCGGTGACGCATGTGTACGTCATCGGAACGCATCTACCACGTTAAACAAGGACTTATTGTAATTACAAATCCGTAAATGACTCGAGTACCTCCTAACTCAATTATCACCTGATACTATAAGTTCCAACGCACAATCTTGAGATCCTCTGGATACATTTAGAAACGTACGTTTAGAGTATTTGGTTGCTATAAATTTCCATATGATAAGCCACTTGATTGGGCTATTATTCGTGACACTTATGAAAAAGGGCTATATAGCTTAGTGGACGGGCCTTACCTCGTAAAATATAAAAAAAACATTGTTGAATAGTTATGTACTTATACAGGTCACAATAAAAACATCTCAATGGACTGGGGTTAATGTCTTCTCAGAAAAAGGACCAAGACTACGCAACTCCCTATCAGTTGAGACATGTATTCGCTGAGCTTCAGCAGACAATCAAAATGCTTTCAGTTCTTGTGTCTGGGAACTAAAATAATTTTTGTTAGATGACCTGTATGCCGGCATCAACATTTCCAAATTAGAAATGACCTGCAAATTAAGCACATGTGAACTGAATTCAGCAATCAGCACCCTCTACTGTCCGCTTAATGCCCCACCCATCACTCCTTCCCTTGGTCAATTCCTGCAATTTCCAACAGTTTTCCTCCTTCATAATTCTGGGCCCTGGGATGTTTGTTAAACTAGAGTGCCATTACAAATGCAAGTTGTTGTCATTGTTGTTAAGCTTGCTCGCGTACGTCAGAGGGAAAGTGTAGATGTGCCATCCACTCATACCTGAATCGTCAGAATATGTATTCATCCTGGAGAAATCCGATAATCTCCCAAGCTTTTTTTAAACAGATGATGTCCAGCATTTCACAGAGAGTGTCCACCACAAAGTACGCTTCTCTCACCTCAAGCACGTGTGAACGACGTACGTCTCTCCAGTTTCGTACAAGACATAAATGGGAAACACGGTCTCTTCCGGAGGAGCAATTCTGGATGTGCGCGCGTTGCTCATGGTGGGCACGCCAGGCACAAGAGGCACTTCGTTTTGCTTGGGTCGGGCTAGGCCAAAGTCAAACGCCACGGCTCGCTCACCCAGAGCGCACGCAAAGGAAGACCTGTCAATGCAACACAGAGAGCAGGCATAAAACACTTTTTTTTAAAATGCACAGTGAAAAAATTAATACCTGCAGTTATGCGAGCAATGCGAACAGCAGCGTAGCAATGCCCAGTTGGAGGGGCTGCATTTATGGTTGATTTGGTCGAATACAAACACATCTACCCAAAACAAATGTGCAAATGGAAACATTTCCAGTGTATGAAAATGGTGCATGTTTTTGGTTATTTCGCACGTTTGTATACTGTTATTCTGCACGCACTTCACGATGCTCACAATGTACGCACACACTGTATCTACAGGTGTGCCTCGAAATATGTGAATTCAATTAACGATTATTCGTTGTTGCGTTCATTATAAAACAACACTTTTTCAGTTTACGTCCTGCTTGTTTCTGTTTTACGTTTGTTAAAATTCTAATTTACATTTCTTAGGTGGGAAAAATCTAAACACCCATAATATATGCACATTGTCGTTCGTCCGTGCATGCATTTTACACTGTTCCAGGCTGTTTGCCTGGTCGCCGCGTTTCATAGACTCGCCACTTGTTTAAAAACCACGTAGTTCAAACTAAAGCAATACCTCATCGAACGCAGGGGTTGCATTCCTGGAAAATGTCGTGTTCTGCAAAACCGCCTCCACAAATAATAGACCTCATGGTAACAATAGGCTTTGCGTTACTGGGTCTGAAATTATCACCCCGCTCCCTCTCTGTTTAACTAATTCTACACGATTTTCGCCATTGATATTGTAATTAAGGATGCCGAGTCGCGCTCAATTTCTGGTGTGTGTGTACAATCTTTATTATTTTTTATTTCACGTCGACACAAAACCCCCGTCTCCATTACTCTTCCTGCATCGCGCATTCACGCCCAATGCTCGCCCCTGGCATTGAATCGCCAGCCTGACTCTCGTCTCTAACACTGAATATCCGAAGCTCACTCCCAATTCATTCATATATAGATGAACCAATCAACGCCAAACTTTGGCGTTATGGGCGTTGTCTGTCTGGGTACGTCACGGTCACTTGAATGTTAATGATACACCATCTAAGTGTCCGTACGACTGACGTCCTCAATGAGTGGACAGCTAGATGCATGCGGCAATGTAGGTGAATATTTTAAGTGTCATTTTAGTAGGTTTGAGGTCAGAAATACTTTTCTTAGGAACACATCTTAGGTTATATAATGAGACCTTATGGGAAAATGTTTTAAGGTATACGATTTTTCCCTTTACGTTCATGTTTTCAATAAAGCAAGCCAGTTTCAGGCAATACAACTGCATTTGCTATGACTGGATAATGCATTACCGTGATTGTGGCAAGCTCGGGGAGTCCTCTAGGTCCGGTGTGAGCGAAAACACCTTCACTGCGGTATGGGGGTCAGCAACGGCATATATCCTGGTGACAGCACGCCACAGAAAGCAGCATTACTTGCAATTCACACAGCGCAAGGCATATGGCGTTAATATCAACGCCAAAAATTGGCTACGTAAATACATACACACACCAGTTTATAAGCGAGTGTGACAACGTTGTTTTTTATTACAAATTCAATATGGTGCGATTAACTTTTGCTTCCATAAGTGCACATGAATCAGTGCAAGTGACCATGATCACACTTATGCTTGTCATGTACAGTGACAAGCGTATTATTGCCCATGCACATATGATGGCGAGTCAATGTCTTTCCACTGATTCTGAAGGAAGGACCGTACAGTGGTGACAAGCTGCATACATGTTAAATTATTTTAATCAGTTTCCAAACAGTGCCACATTTTACCCGGCGGTAAAAAGTTTTCTGAAGTCATATTATTCGTCTCTGAAACCACAACTGAAAAAAATGAAAACTTGTCCATATTCCCTCTTTAAACAAATTCTGCTGGAAAACATTGGGAGAAAGCCGATAAGCTGATGGGACTACATTTACTTTAACAGTCAAACAAATCTATTATTCTGTGCATTTCTCTGTTGTACATGCACATTCACAAATGTGTGAACATGCACATTCACATCGGTATATTTCGATGTGCGACTACATTGTTCAATTTGGATTATACACAGTAATGATTGACCCATGCTGTCAGACTAATGGCCGTTTGCAAGCCACATGCTGAGACACCACGTGCTGCACAGGGACAGCTGTCACTAGGAGTGCCCTTTTAACCGTGACGTCAAGCGTTGCGAGACATCTCGGTGTGTTGGGTGTTATAGTAAAACCTTGGATTGCGAGCATAATTCGTGTTTGTAATCCAAAGCACTCATATATCAAAGCACTCGTATATCAGTTGTGATCACGTGACGCTCGGCAGACAAAGCGTATACGTACACTACTCGCATTGCAAGACCTCGCTCGTTTATCAAATTAATATTTATTGTAAAATTTTGCTCGTCTTGCAAAACACTCGCAGACCCAGTTACTCGCAATCCAAGGTTTTACTGGATATCGAAAACAAATCATCATCATTGCTGTAGTTAACTACGGGTGTTCCAGCGTTTACCGCATCATGTTGTCCGAAGTGAGCAGCACGACATGTGGCTCAGTCCCGCCCTCCTCAGGGAACCAGCTTAAATCGAGCAGGCGCAGCGACGAGCGGCTGGTGAACAGGCGCTCCGCCACTACCGTTACCCTAAACACACAATTGTGTTAGCACAAAGACAAATATCCGCCCGTGTAGCTTGAAGAGACTGTTGGGGAAAATGCTGTAAGCCAGCACCTATGAAGGCCGGCATTGCACGAGTGGGGTGGGTTGCCAGGACCACGCCCGACCGCCTTTGTCTCCCCAGTGGCAGTATTTTACACACCTCTCCAAATACTAATTTGAGAACTAGTCGACCTTAGGGGAGGTCCAGGACCGGTTCAGATAATTGTCACTGGTGTTGGCCGTGAGCGGAAATTGAACTCTGGTCGTTGGGTTCGTAGCACAGCGTGCTAACCAACTACTGCTCCCCACACACAAACTCACACTGCTGTCTGCAGCTTTAAGGGTCAAGCCCTTTCAGCTAACATATGCCAACTCGTGAAACATCACAGCAATTCAACCTGGCCTGCCCCTATTCTAGTGTGCATTCTACATAGCAAAACTAACAGCATGCAGAAGATAGTATACACTTGGTCTTGACGATTTATAGCTGGATTAATATATTATTCACATTTACTAATCGCTGCAGTACAAAAATGGGCAGCGTGAGATCGAAAACAATTTGAAACAGTTAGTCAATCGTAAAACAGCATAAATATTATTAAATCTAAGCGCGCGACTATAAAAACCACACCTGCAGTTTGTGCACGAGTCTTTCGTGCCGGCTTGCGGGTACGGAGGCAGGTGCATGACGACGAGGCCACGCGAACCCACCAGGGCGACCAGCGAGGTGGCAGAAGGCGAGGGCAGCACTCGCTGCACGCGGAACGACGGCGGGTCCAAGCACAGCAGTGTCTGGGGCCCACAAACGAGGAAAGGTCAACGTGCAGCGGCGAGGCTCCAGTCGCGTGCGCAGCGATGGATAGTTGTTTGCAGGTCATTTTTAAGCGGTAGGCCTCTCATGCGGCTGTAGGCTGTGTGTAAAATCATTCAACGGTCGTCATTGATTGGTCCATAACCCATTTGCTGTAACCGGCAACACCTGACCAACTTACAGGTATGCAATTTGGAAATGTCATCGCGCGTGAGGCAACTGTGTTGCGTGAGGCAACTGAGGCTTGCTTTCAAAGAGCTATATTCCAGTACAATAATATCACCCATGAAATGAAGGCTTATAATAAATCAACTGTGATGTCCACATTAGATACACAAAGAGTGTCTGTAAGCGCATGGAAAATTCTTACATTTAAAGGATCGCCATAGGTGTTACATATCACGGGTTGTGTTGCTTACATGAGCCAGATGTCTTGTAGTGCAGTGAAATGCTGTAGCTTGGGTTGTACAGGGATTAAAGGTCAAAAGGTAAGGCGATGCAAGCCTAAACACGCTGCTGGATATGGCAACGCATGTTTAACCAGTATTTTTTTTTTAATGGTTAGAGCCAGGGTTAGTAAAGGGAGTGTTGAGGTTAGGGATAGTTTGAGTGGGGATAAGCGACAGAGCAAGGGGTTAGCGGATGTTTGGTGCACAGGACCAGGGGCGGAGCCAGTATTTTGACTTTGGGGGGGCTGACTTCAATATTCTGCGATATCCAGAGTATGTTTTCCAATGGGCGCCACAAATGTATAAAACAAATTTGATTGGATTTGAACGCGGAGTTTATTAATAGGTCGGAGCCGCTGATGTGGCTAATAAGTTCGATAAGTTCGAAAGGCTGCCGCTCAAGCAGCACAAGGTGGCAGCACGAGGTGGCAGCCTGCAGGGCAGCACAAGGTGGCAGCCTGCAGGGCAGCACAAGGTGGCAGCCTGCAGGGCAGCACAAGGTGGCAGCCTGCAGGGCAGCACAAGGTGGCAGCCTGCAGGGCAGCACAAGGTGACAGCCTGCAGCATTTTGCAGCAGCCGGATATCCGGTGATCCAAATTACCGACTTTCCCAAAATTTCAGGGGGGGCTAAGCCCCCCCCCCCAGCCCCCCCTATGGCTCTGCCCCTGCTCAGGACCAGCTTGTGGTTAGCAATGGCATTGAGTTATGGATGTGGTGGTTGGGAACAGGGTCACATACATACTCTTTGGTTCTTTCGGTAAAGTCACGTAGGTAGAAAAATAATAGATCACGACGTTTCGATCGCAACACAAGCAATCGTCATCAGGTGGGACAACCACAGCAAGAAAAAAACTGCTGAAGTTTTCAGCAGTTTTTTTCAGCAGTACTTCAGCAGTTTTGGTTGTGGTGTGGGACAGGGGATAGAGGTGGCAGTTTTACTATAAAGTATTTTATTTTACCAAGTAAGGCCTACTGAGCTATACAGTGCTTTTTCAGAAGCAACTGGCCACAAATGATAGCTCAACCAAGTGATTTAACGTGTAGAAATTTATAGCAGCCAAATACTCTCAAGGCATGTCGATTCTAAATGGAGGGAAAAACCGAAGGACCCGGAGACAAATCCACGCGACCACGGGGAGAGAGAGGGACACACAAACCCAAAATATATACAGCAGGCGTCAGGGTCGGGATTTAACCCACGACCTTCGGCATACCAGGCGAGGTAGTTAACATCTCGCCACTGTGACACAGTAGGGTTACAGGGACAGCGTTCGGGATTGGTTTGGGCTTAAGAGAGTCAACGTCAGAGTCGGCAGGTGTATGGGGCAGGTTCGAGCTGGCGGGCACGGCTGTGCTTTGTAAGAATGGGGGGATGGGGGTAATGGGATGGAGAGGGGGTAATGGGATGGAGAGGGGGTAATGGGGTGGCGAGGGGGTAATGGGGTGGAGAGGGAGTAATGGGGTTGAGAGGGGGTAATGGGGTGGAGAGGGGGTAATGGGGTGGAGAGGGGGTAATGGGGTTGAGAGGGGGTAATGGGGTGGAGAGGGGGTAATGGGGTGGAGAGGGGGTAATGGGGTGGAGAGGGGGTAATGGGGTGGAGAGGGGGTAATGGGGTGGAGAGGGGGTAATGGGGTGGAGAGGGGGTAATGGGGTGGAGAGGGGGTAATGGGGTGGAGAGGGGGTAATGGGGTGGAGAGGGGGTAATGGGGTGGAGAGGGGGGTAATGGGATGGAGAGGGGGTAATGGGGGGTGGCGGGGGGGTGGTAATAGAGTGGGGTGGCGGTAACGGGGGGGGGTAACGGGGGGGGGGGGGGGGGGGTAACGGGGGGGTAACGGAGGGGGGGGGGGGGTAACGGAGGGGGGGGGGGGTAACGGAGGGGGGGGGTAACGGAGGGGGGGGGGTAACGGAGGGGGGGGGGTAACGGAGTGTCGAGGGGGGTGGGGGGGTGGTAACGCGGTGCACCTCAAGTCCACCCTCGTCCCCGCGGCGCCGTCCGCTCTCGGCGCGGAGTAGCGCGGCGGCGCGCTCGTCCCAGGCGTACACGTGGTCCCCCAAGGAGAACAGCAACTCCCGGCTCGCCGCCGCTGCCGCCGCTGCCGCCACCGCCGTCCCCCGTTGGGGTCTCCCTGGGGGGGTCCCGGCGGCTCCCGCGCCGGCCGCTGAGCCGGCGGCTGCTGCTGCGGCCTTCTCCGGCTCGGGAGAGGCGGAGGCGCCCTCGCCGAGCCGCGAGAACAGATCCCGCAACCCCTGCGAGGAGAGCAGCGACATCTTTCGGCGGGGCCCTGTGCGAGCAAGGGGCCGTGAAGAGGTTTGGACGACGACGACGAGGAGGAGGAGGAAGAGGTTGATGATGATGATGGAGAAGAGGAGCGACTCAAAGGCGTTCAAACGTCGAGCGGGAAACACGAGACCGGGAGTTCGCCGTGGATCGATCCACGCGCGTAGAATCGAATGTTTTCGATCCTTAATGTTAGGCGCCGCAAATCTACGATTCTTGCGTGATTGCGAAGGGGCCTTCATCCAGCAGTGGATTCACCATGGCTGGTGATGGAGGTGTTTTGGTGATGGTGTACGTGCTATAAGGGATATAGAGATTTAGCGCGGGCTTATTTAGGTGTTTCCACCGTGGTGGAGGGCAGAGCAGTGACGCTCACAACAACGAGCGGAGCACCGGGCGGATAAAATGCAGCAAGTTGGTACAGCTGGTGGTGCATCTACCGGTCATCTGAGTCAGCCGACCCATCGTACCTGCAGGGTCTGTCCTGAGACCTCCTGCACCTAGCCTGGCACAGTAGGGGGGGTACAGCTGGTGGTGCATCTACCGGTCATCTCAATCGGTCAACCCATGGCACCTGCTGGGTCTGTCCCGAGACCTCCTACACCTAGCCTGGCACAGTAGGGGGGTACAGCTGGTGGTGCATCTACCGGTCATCTCAATCGGTCAACCCATGGCACCTGCAGGGTCTGTCCCGAGACCTCCTGCACCTAGCCTGGCACAGTAGGGGGGGGTACAGCTGGTGGTGCATCTACCGGTCATCTCAATCGGTCAACCCATGGCACCTGCAGGGTCTGTCCCGAGACCTGTCAGCGAGCCTTCCGACTCATCACGTGGGCCTCAAAAGTGCACCTGGCCTGGCACAGGCCTCGTGGTGTCGTCACAGTCACTTTGTGGCGAATGATCGGGTATTGGTTATTGGTATAGCGATGTTATAGCTTCTGAAGGATTTAGTGACGAAGAAAAACGTGCTGTTATTTTTTTTACAATCTTAATTGAATCACGAACTCGACCCACGAACAAACATGTGCATCGGGTATTTTTTTAGCTAAATCACCTCACGATGCGGCCAAATGTCGTTATCATCCTCGCCCACCTCGACAGAGCCAAACAAATTATTGTAAAAATCTAGATTTGAAGTTTGTGTAAAGCCATCACCGGAATCGATTCGAGTTTTCATTTCCATATAAAATCGCAAAATTGGAATCGCTTCCCCTTTCATTCGGAGTCGCTTACAAAGAAGGATCGATGCAAGGTCGCGCGGAATCGTTAAGTTGGGAATCGGCAAGATCTGGATCGATTCAACTTCCTGCTCACCGGGACCAGGCTTGCCAGAGCCGAGGTTTTAACCTCCAGGCAACAACAATAAACACATTTACGGCAGATTTCATCTGCAAATATAAACAGACTAACGTAGAAGTAAGGAAAAAAAGGTTGCTCATAGATAGAGAACATTTACAGACCAATTCAGATCTTATTGGTCACCCCATGCCCCTTATAAATCTCAACTTCCATCCTACAAAGTCCCATCACAAGGGAGAAACACAAATAGACAATCACCGCTAGTACACTCACCACCACTACACTCACTACATAAATGTCAACCCCTATCAGTGCCCTACCTGTTTACAGACCAATTCAGATCTTATTGGTCACCCCGTGCCCCTTATAAATCTCAACTTTCATCCTACAAAGTCCCATCACAAGGGATAAACACAAATAGACAATCACCACCACTACACTCACTACATAAATGTAAACTCCTATCAGTGCCCTACCTTTTTACAGACCAATTCAGACCTTTTTGGTCACCCCATGCCCCTTATAAATCTCAACTTTCATCCTACAAAGTCCCATCACAAGAGATAAACACAAACAAACAGACAACAAAAATGTGCCCGCATTGAAACGGCTGTACGCCGCATGGACCTTCCCTGTGCATTTGTAGCTGCTACATTTGTTTGATTAAACCCTAAGGGTTTACAGTAATGCGACTACGACGACCTAAGAGATTGATGCCAGACAAAATGTGGCCACTACTTGAACCGTATTGGCACTACAAGACAGAGGAAAGTGGAAACATGACGGATGTGCATTGGACACCTACTAGGCCCCCTACGGCCTATATGCCAATGGAACGATATAATAGTGCTGATGAAAGCAGAATTCCGCTCTGTCCACATTAAATACATTTGTATGTTCACGTCCTCGCATGCATTCACAACTCTGCCCTCGCCTACCTTCGTAACACCGAACGCCAACGTTTTAAACCCAAAGCCTCGCCTGGCTTAACCCTCAACCCTCATCTGCCTTCTAAACCCTGACCTGACCTGTTTATACAGTAAGATTACAATTTCAATAAAATATATATCTGATGGAATTTTTTTTTTTACATTTTGTACTCACCCAGATCGATGGCATTAGTTACTGCTTTTAAATTGCAAATATTTTCCTCGCGGCGTTCAGTCGTTACTCGGGGTGTTTAAAATGAAACACTGAGAGTGCCTCGGATAGTATGAGGACCAATGGTGATATTTTAAGTAAAAACTAATACAGTACAATATGTTGTCTTCACTTTGTGCCCTACATTTTCTTGGGTGAAAAGTTGCCTAAGATTTCCCCAATCCTGGCCAGCTGGATCAAAAACTAAAAAAGTAACCTGCTTTCTAAACCCTAACCCTCACTTGCTTTCTAAACCCAAATCTTCACCTGCCTTCTCAACCCTAACCCTCAACTGCTTTCTAAAACCTAACCCTCACCTGCCTTCTAACCCTTAATCCTCACCCGCTTACTAAACCCTAACCGTCAACTGCCCTCTAAACCTTAACCCCCACGTGCTTTTGGAAACACTAACCATCATCTGCTTTCTAAAACCTAACCCTAAACTGCTTCGTAAACCCTAACCCTCACCAGTCTTCTAAACCCAAACCCTCGCCTACCTTATAAACCCTAACCCTTGCCTGCCTTCTAAACCTTAATCCTCACCCACTTTCTAACCGCTAACGCTTTCCTGCCTGCACTCCAGTGTTTAATTGTAGTTTCTATGAGTTAGCTAATCGGATTGGAAATTGAGAAAAAGGATACAGGCATATGGCAACATGGCTTAGTTGGTAAAGTGCCTGTCTAGTAAACTAGGAAATCCTAGGTTAAAATCCTAGTGGTGCCTCATTTTGACGTTCATGCTATGATTCTGAATGAGTGCATCACGGGTTAATGATCAAAGTAACTATCTGGTAATGGAGTTTGAATTCTATAGAAAAGTTGAGGAGACTTAAAGTTATAGGAGATTTGTTTTGCATTAACAACATTAAATGCTCGTTTGGTTGTCAAATTTAAATCCTGTGCTTCATTTATTTTTAGAAATGGAAAATGGAAGTGATTGTTTTGTTTGGAACATGAATGTGTGCATTTCCCAATGCGATCGGATATTAAGATTTCCCAATTAAGATGCAATACCCTTTGTGTGAAGCAAAGAAGGTGATGTCAAACTATTCATGTGGAGAACGATGGATTAAGAGTCTTTCACCTGCAGGATTCAGCCAAATCACATCTGATTTAATCGTATGACCAATCGCAATGCAGTGTTTTTACTCAGCATCACATTTCTTGTAGCTGCTATATTTCTTTGATTATCGCCGATCAATGTCATAAATTAAATTAAACCGTTGAATAAAATGGCTTCCAGAGATTTCACTCGAAAAAAGCGAATCGACAAGGATGGGATTCAAACCCATGAGTGCAGAGCACAATAGGTTAGCAGTCCATAGCATTAACCACTCGGTCACCTTATCACATGTTACCATGATTCATAACTAATCTCAAAAATATATGCGTTCTAGGCATCACATTTCTTTAATGCATCAACATTTTTTATTGCAGTTTCTATGAATTTGCCAGTAGGTTTAGAAATAACGGACAGGAATATGGTGCCATGGCTTAGTTGGTAAAGCGCCTGTCTCGTAAACAGGAGATCCTGGGCTCAAATCCCAGTGGTGCCTCATTGAGATATTTTTTGCTATGATTCTGCATGAGTACATCACGGGTTAATGATCCATGTAACTGTCTGGTAATTGAGTTTGACTTCTATAGACAAGTTACGGAGACTTGATTTTCCACCATAATATTAAATGCCCCTATGGGTGCCAAGTTCAAATGCTGTTTTTTAGAAATTGAAAATGTAAGTATTTGTTTTGTTTGGTAACATAAATGTATCCATTTCCCAATGCGACCGTATTTTGAGATTTTCCAATTCAGATGCAATATCCATATTTATAATTGTGAAGTAAACAAGGCGATTGCAACTATTAATGTGGAGAACGATGGATTTATAGTTTTTCACCTTCAGGATTCAAGCCACCTCACATCTGATTTAAACGTATGACCAATCTCAATGCGGTATCATTTCTCATCATCACATTTCTTATAGCTGCTATATTTGTTAGATAATCGCCGATCAATGGCATAAAAAATGGCTCATCTAGATTTCACTCTAAAAACAGCAAATCGATAAGGATGAGATTCGAACCCATGCGTGTAGAGCACAATGGATTAGCAGTCCATCGCCTTAACCATTCGGCCACCTTATCACATTTTGCCCAGATTGATAACTAATCTCAACAATATATTCGTTCAAGGCATCAAATTGTTTTTTAATGCATCAACATTTTTATTGCAGCTTCTATGAATTTGCCAGTAGGTTTGGAAACTTGAGAAATAACGTACAGGAATATGGCGCCATGGCTTAGTTGGTAAAGCGCCTGTCTAGTAAACAGGAGATCCTGGGTTCTAATCCCAGTGGTGCCTCATTGTGATATTTTATGCTATGATTCTGCATGAGTGCATCACGGGTTAATAATCCAAGTAACTATCTGGTAATTGAGTTTGACTTCTATAGAAAAGTTAAGGATACTTGTTTTTCCATCACAACATTAAATGCCCCTATGGGTGCCAAGTTAAAATCCTGGGCTTTATTTTTAGAAATTTATAATATGTATGTATTTGTTTTCTTTGTTAACATAAATGTACCCATTTCCCAATGCGACCGTATTTTGAGATTTTCCAATTCAGATGCAATATCCATATTTATACTTGTGAAGTAATCAAGGTGATTGTACACTATTCATGTGGAGAACGATGGATTTATAGGTTTTCACCTTCAGGATTCAGCCAACTCACATC